TCTATAAGAGAGAGTAATATAATAGTCTAGTTTAGAGATTTACCTAGAGTTATATAACTTTAGGTTACGTAATCTTATTACGTAATCTAGCCTAGCGCCTTAGCGCTTAGTACCTCTATATATAAAGCCTCTTAGAGTATTCTTCTACTTCTTACCTTTAGATAGCTAAATTTAACCTAATCTACTCTACTAGCACCTTTTATTCTTATAGCTTGTAAAGATAGTACTATCTATAGCTAACTTACCTAGCTAGGTATTCTAGAGGCGCTTATAGTAGTAGAGACCGCGAACCTAGCTCTTATAATAGCTCTAATTCTTAGTATAGCTATTAGTAAATACTTCTTATAAAGCTACTTAGTTTAGTCTAATATTATACTACTATCTCTAGCTAAAGAAGTATTAACCTTTAGATAATATAAGAGCTAGCTTTTAGTCTCTACTACTATATATTAAGCTCTAGAATACCTAGCTAAGTAAGTTAATTATAGATAATATAGTCTCTATAAGCTATAAGAATAAAAGTAATAAGTAGAGTAGATTAGATTAAATTTAGCTATCTAAAGATAAGAAGTAAAAGAATACTCTAAAAGCTTTCTATATATAGAAAGCTAAGTACTAAAATACTAGATAAAGTTATATAACTTAGGTAAGATTATATAACTCTAGTAAATACTAAGCTAGACTATTATCTTTTTCTTACTAAGAAATTATAAACTATTTAATAGTATAGAGCTTTTAATAGTAGAGTATATTAGAGCTTTTAATAGTAAAGTATATTATATCTAGATAAGTTAAAGTCTCTATTATAACTAGATACTTAGATTAAAATATATAAAAAAGAGAAGACACTATAGAAGATAGTAGAGAATTTAATTTCTATATAGATAGAAGATAAAAGATCTATATAAAGATACTACTAAGTAGAATAAAGAATAATTTAGTAATAGAGTTAATAGCTAGAATAATCTTAGAGATATACTATAGAGCTTAAGAATAAGCTCTTTCTATAAAAAAGAGTAATATAATAGTCTAGCTTAGTATTACTAGAGTTATATAATCTTATCTAGTGTCTTAATACTTAGTCTTCTATATATAGAGAGCTCTTAGAGTCTTCTTTTACTTTTTACCTTTATATAGCTAAATTTAACCTAACCTACTCTACTCGTCGCCCTTATTCTTACAGCTCGTGGAGACCGTACTGCCTAGAGTCGACTTACTCCTAGCTAGGTGTTCTAGAGCGCACGCACAGTAGTAGAGACTAAGAGCTAGCTCTTACAGCTCTTAGCTTTTCTACCGCTAATATTAATGCGTTGCGGCGATTAGCATTAGCTTAGTAAGCTGCTTAAGCTTTAGCGGAGAATTAGGGCGATTGTACGGGGACGAACGCGTCGCGTTTACAATTAATTAATTAGTTGGTGCCTGGCTATATTAGTGCGCGCTGCTTGCAGTTAACCTAAACGTTGGCTTCTTCGAGTAGCTTGCGTCTGATAATTGCATTATGGCCGCCAGTGTTGCAACACACGAAGTGAGTGCGAGTCTAGTAGCTATCTAGCACTAGGTCGACTTTAAAATATTTGTTAACCTGGCCATTAGGTCGTCCATCGTAGCTGGCAAGGGGGATAGGTTCCATGCGCGATAGCTTGACATAGAGGTTCTTCCTAAGGGTCCGAAGGTGCTTTGGGTGGACTAGGACGTAACTGCCCGCTCCGGTGTCAATCAAGCCTCTAAGCTTGATAGCGAGACCGTTCATGGATATTTAACAGGGCAAGGCGAACGTAGGACTACTGAACAGCTTTCCGCGCAGGTTTATTACTCTAGTAGGTGGCTCTAGGGAGGAGACTTCTCCTAGAGCTAGGCTTCTTCTGAACTGTCGGATTCGCTCCCTGACGCGTCATTCTCAGGTGTTTGCGACTCCGGTGGCTCTGCTGGCTCCTCTGGATCGACGTCCTCAACGGCTTTCTGTGCGACAGGAGCGCTAGGGCAGTCGCGGCTCATATGGCCGGGTTGTCGGCATTGGAAGCAGGTGACGGGCTTCCTGATCGCCGGGGCTTTGTCAGGTGCCGGCGGAATGCCTGGAAGGGCAGTGGGCGCGCGACGCGGCATTGACGCGAGCACGTCGCGCTTTTCGGCCTTCCTGGATACGCGAGCTTCTTCTAGGGCAAGCTCTCTGGCCAGGTCTCGGGCGAGGTCCACATATTGATCATAATTATTGGCGCATTGACGTCGGTATATACTCATCTGCGTACGCAGGCTCGCTGGAAGCTTCTCATGAAACTCGTCCACCCATTGGTCCACTGGGAGCTGACGCTCCTGTGCCAGGCGGAAGAAATCAACCTGGAAGCGCGCAAAGTCGGTGGCATTTTGACAATATAGCTTCTGGAAATCGCGTCGAGCGTTCAGCCTCTTATGGGGGTCTCCATAGCTCTTCTCTAGCCGATCGAGTATGTATTCACGGGAAATCGGCTCGCCACTGTTCCTCAGGGTATGCAGTATCGTGGAGAGGGTCTGGTGCTTGGCGGAACGCGTTGGTCTGCTCTCTGAGCGTCGCTCGGTCGCTAGGGGTGTGGCTGGCGGGTATGCGGTCGGACGAGGACCTAGGATTGAGTCGTCTAGCGGCAACGCGCTGGACTCGCGCGTACGCGGCGTCCTATTCACGAAGCGCGTCGTACGCTGAGTTGATGGAGCAGGTAGCATTCGATTCCTGGACCTGGATCGCGATTGCGATCGTAGCTGTTGAATCTCTGCCAGGGCGGCGTCTTTTTCTGCTAGGGCAGCTGCCTTCTCACGCTCTAGCTCCTGTAATCCCGCGTATAGGGTGTCTCCTTCGGCGAGAGCGTCGGCGGCGATCTGGCGATACATGTGGGTCTGTTGTTCAAGTACCCGGCGTATAAACAATTGGCTGACCAGTTCGTCGACGATTTCGCCCGGCTTTTCCAGGAAAAGCTCTTGGAGCTCCTGTGCGGAGGCAGGGAGTGTGTGAGAGCCATCGGCAGCTAATAGCCTGGGTATAGAGCTCTTGCGTAGCCGTACGAGCTTCCGCGCGAAGTCGTTATCCTGATTCTTATCGGTTATCGCGTTATATTGTCGTACCGGCGATTCGCGATAATGATATTGGTCTGAGTAACTGGCTGGAAGGCCCTCGGCCAAGGATTCGAGGATTGTCGGGGTAAAGGGCGACTGTGAGGCCGGAGCCTTGCCTCTAGAGTTACTCCGCGAGGGTTCGCCCATCGTGTTCTCGTTCGCGGAGCGGGGATATATGCTGCTGGCGGAGCAGAGGGTTGTCGGTGTTCGAATAAAAAAGGGGGGGTTTCCGTACGTAGGAGTTCCGTAGAAGTCCTCCCGTACGCAGAGCTCTCGTAGCTCTCTTCGGCTCGCTGCCGGGTGTGTCTTTCTGCCGCCGACTAGATCCGCTAGTGGTCTTATGCAGCGCAGGGGGGTGAGCGACTAGAGCTCTCACAGCTCTAATCCTCTAGGTGAGCGACCAGGCTCTCGTAGCTCTGATCCTCGGGGTGGCCGTCGGTAAACGCTTCTCGTAAGGCTACTTGGTTTGGCCTAATATTATGCCGCCGTCTCCGGCCGAAGGGGTGGGTGACCTTTGGATAATGTGAGGGCTGGCTCCCGGTCTCCACTAGCTGTGCGTCACCTTGGAACACCTAGCTGGGTAAGTCGGCTGCAGGCAGCGCTGTCTCCGCGAGCTGTAAGGATAAGGGCGACGAGCAGGGTAGGTTAGGTCAAATTCAGCTATCCAAAGGTAAGGAGCAAAAGAAAGGCTCCGAGAAGCTCTATATACAAAGGTGCCGAGCGCCAAGGCGCTAGGCGAGGTCATGTGACTCTGGCAATACTGAGCTGGACCGTCACACTACTGCTGCTGAACGCTCTCTGGCACTTTCCCTTTGATGCCAATGAATACTCTTCCCATGCAGGCATTGCAGCCGTGTACCCTTCACCACCGCTTCGCTGACGCCTAGCGCAGAGTGTATATAGGTCTTGAGGCATGTTCTCCGAACAGTGCAATGCAAACTTAGGTTCATAAGACCGAAGCGGCAAACCAACCAACGCGCCAGTCGAATCATAAGTTGTCCGACAAAAACAACAAGGCGCAACCGCAACCCCAAAGAGTGATCCTGACGCGCCGGAATGGAACGCTACCTTCTCAGCGAAGAGCCACAAGTCGGCAGGAACGAAGAATCTAGCTCACAGTTGAAGGAAGCAAAGTCTAAGCTGTCAGAGGACTCGAAGACCCCGAGCTCGAATCCCATATCCAACGTTCATTCTGGTCTTGGATTCTTAGATCTGCCACCGGGTAAGTTCTCAACTATACACCTCTCACAAGAGTTGCTCCTAACTATTGTATTCACAGAGATTCGAAACCTCATCTATGACTATGCGATAGATGACAGTGAAATACACGGCGGCTGGAGCAACGCCCCGCGACTTCTCTCGCTCCGAAAGGGTAGAATCACGCCGCCGCTCGCCCCTGCATCTGCCTCCACACGCCAATTCCTCGGCCTCACCCAAGTCTGCAAGCGAACACGGACCGAGTACCGCCCCATCTGGCTCCGCCACACTGCTATCCGCATAAAGTACGGAGAGCTGCCCGCCTTCCTCCAAACCTTCTACCCGATAGTATCTAACTACCAGAACGCGCCAAAGCTCCTCCAGATATCCTGGGAACACAGTAAAGGTACTCTCGATCTGACATCTCTGTTCCAAATGCGCGTACAGTGCCCCACCTTCCCGGGCGAGTTCGTCGCGCATGTGCTGGCTGAGGGTGCATTGCCCGCGGACTTTGGAGAACACTTTAGGGACGACATCTGTGGCGAGTGTGGGCAGAACCTTATCTGGGATCTTGGCACTTGGTCTTGCGGGACCCATCGAGTCTACTATGAGGATATATTTAATGGCTGGTGTATGTACTATGTCGAGGAATACGAGTATCTCGGTTCGTTGAATTGCCTGCTTGCACACCGAAACGAGCAATGGTTGGCGGATGTGCGCGAGGGCCGCGTTACGCATGTGGGCTGCGTGCTCGACCAGGACCCCGAGAAAGCTCGGCATGCCGTATCCTTGAAGCTCAGCCCAGAAGGGCCGCAGCAGGCGTTTGGGGGCATTAATGATATAGAAGGCACTACGACGCGGTATCTCGAGAAGACGGCGCTTCAAGGCATGAAGGTTGAGACTTGGAATGATCCTATGGAGTTCAAGGTCGACGTCGGCGGATTCTGCCGATCGACGGTTTAGATGCTGAAGGAATGAATTTGCCTCCATAGCCTTGATAAGAGCATTCAAGTCTAGTGTTAGTCCTGGAGGGGAAGTTGTCTCACATACCATCATGCCATCATAACCATCAAACATCATCACCCCATCCACGTTCTCACATCCCCCATGCACCCCTCAGCAAGCCTCCAGCCTCGGAATCATCACCAACATATTCCTCTTCTCCTCTTTCTTCACAAGCCACTTTTCATCAGCGAACATGCCCTCCGAAAACCACACATACTTCTTCTGCAGCTCCCCCCCATCCTTCTTCACCAACCACAAGTCATAGTCCCCCTCATCCCGCCAGCGCGACTCCAGGTCCGGAACATTCACAGCAACGAGCTCGAGGGCGGTGGGCTGGATACCGACCTTCTGCAATCTGCACGTGATTTCCGTGCGGCTCTAAAAGGTGCCGGTGTAGCCGGGGGTGACCAGAGTATGCCGGGTGGCCTCAGAGACGGTCCGTCAATTTGCGCGCTGATGCGCGTACAATGCCGGAGACGAGTGTGAGTGGAGGCTGAGTGTTGACAGGTATATCCTCCACTATGCGTGATCTTCCTCGTTGCTGGGGGCGACAAGCGGGCCACCCACAACCGACCGATGGGCAACGTGATCCAGCCGAGCACCAGCCGAGCCCTAGAGCTACAATATAAGCCATCTTCCGACTTCCTCTCATTGCCACAAAGATGAAAGACTGCGGTATAAGAAGCAGCCAAGCCATGTCGTCGGGGAACGTATCCGCGCTAGCCCCTTTCAGCAGCGATCCACGGACTACGCCGCCAATCAGCGTCGGGGAATTCTACGCACGCTTCTGATCCCGATCCTGGCATCGGACTTCTACAGTAGAGATCTGATCTGACGGCAGCACCAGCACCAGATGTAGGTACCCGTAGTGTGCTTTGCGGGACCTTGCAAGCAAGCTGCTGAGTGAGCCACTTCCTTCGTGGTGAGTGGCGCTCCACTGAGGTACCGAGAGTACTGCGTACGCGCAAAGCGGCAACGCGTTTTTTCTGAATTTTTGACTCGCACTGCTTCCTGCGACTACTATGTTGAGATAGAGAAGCATTCCAAGCTCCGCATGGGTCAATAATTGCAGACAGGCATTTCCAACGCCAAATTCGGTACTCGCGTGCATCCTACCTCGGTGTTCTATACGTCGTCCTACTACCGCCTCACCACATACAACGCAGTGCCACCAACCCAATCCATAACTCCAGTCCAGTATACTAATTCCATCATCCGACTACCTAGGTACAGGGAAGCACCCTACGCCCCATGCCCCGAAACGAAGCACGATCAGCCTTCTTGGCTAGGCTTGGCTAGTCCGTAGTCCGGATCACACTGCCTGCACGCGCAGTTTCATATGGCTACAAAACTACGCTGCAGGGCGTGAAACCCCCGAACTTGCTGTTTACCTGCAAGAGTGGTCGATCTTTTCTGTTTCCTTCTTCTTTGACGTTACTTCCTTGACGTTGCCTTCGGCTTTGAGAGCGTTCCCTTTCTTTCCTTTCGGCACTGTCGGGCACATACAACCGTTCGTTCGGTTATCCATTCGACTCGACCTTTGAAGCTTCTTCCTCCCTTCTCTCCACCCGTCTCACATTCTAAACTGTTATGCCTTCAAGCCCCCGATAGCATCCAGCAAGCAAGCAAAATGTCTCCAGCACGCAACAACAACAAGTACCGTCGCCAACAGGCGGCGACACCCACACGCGTCAACCTCGGACCCCTAACAACCACCTTCGTCGCACCCAGCCACTGCTCGCGCAACGCCCTCGCCTGCCCAACGTGCACCAACGCGATACGCGGCCAGTCGTGCCGCGTGAATGGCGCCACCGTAACCGCCGAAGACGACACAGGGTGCTGGCCGCGCGCGACCGCCTACCCAGACAACGGTCAGGGACCCGGCAAAGCGCCGCTGTTCGGAATGGGCTTCTACTCACCAGGCATCGCGTGCCCTACGGGCTTCACCAGCGCGTGTACGGCGGTCTCGCAGACGGATGGCCAGAGCAGTGAGGCTGCGCCGCAGGTGACGGGACGATTCCAGTGGCCGCTTGTGGCGGGCGAGACGGCAGTCGGGTGCTGTCCGACGGGATATTCGTGTGCGATTGATGGCGGGGTGCAGACGTGCCATCTGGAGGTGACGAGCACGCAGTTCGACGCTATGACGTGCAATGGAGTGACGGAGGGGGATCTTAACGGGTTCAAGGTGCCGTTTACGAGCGGTACGCAGACGGTCGGGACGATGCATTTGTTCGCCCCGCTCATCCAGATCAACCACCAAGCGACGGATCTCCCGGAGGAAGTTGGGGCGGAGGATGAGACATCGGCGGCGGCAAGTGCTACATCTCTGCTGACCATGTCGTTGGAGCCGTCATCGACACCTGCGGACCGATTTGCGATACCTACTCTTTCCTCGGATATTTTACCAGAGCGCCCAGATTCGATCGGCGACGACGACCACCGTCTCCCGACGGGCACTAAGATTGGTATCGCGTGTGCTCCCCTCATGGGCGCTGCCATCATCCTCGGCATCATGGCCTACTTCAAATGGAAGAAGCGCTACCTCTACCCCCCGGAGCACTTCGTTCCCAAGAAATCCGGCTCGCCCGACCCGTCCGAGCCAAGCTCCCGCCACGCTGAAGCAGGCGAAGCGGGGTTCCAGGATCAAAACTTGTCGTACTCGCCGCCCATGAACGACGACCCCACATTCAGCGCCGCGCATAACCCGCACGATTTCGCCATGGGCCCTGGTCCCGTCGTAGTAGCGGATAGCCGCCAGGAGAAGATGGCTGGCATCGAAGAAGAGGCCGACACACACGCGGCGCGCTTCGGACGGTCGCTCGACGGAGATGGCTTTGAGAGCCCGATAGATGGTACTTCTCCCTTCCGCCTGAAGCGTGGTAACACGCTCAAGATGCGCGACCAACGGCTGACGCCTGAAGATAGGGACGCGGCCAGGCGCACATCGCCTTTAGTAAGATCGGAATCCGTCAACTCCGAGGGCTCCTCCCAAGATGGCGTCGAACGAGAGTACCCGATCAAGAGGGAGGACTCGTTTACCAAGCCAAGACCGAGGCCCAAGACAGGTGCGAGCAGCGTGTATTTTGATGATCGCACGAGCAGCGTCTACAGCTGGAACAATGCGGTAACTGCGGAGATGCCGACGGCTGTGGAGAGAAAGAAGAGCATGAGACGGGCGGACTCATACTCGCAGCCCCGGCCGAAGAGGGACGAGAGTGAGGATACCTTAGTAGGACGTAATGTGGTGGCGGTTCCGCGAGGCGAAGGCGTCGCTTTCTGATCTTTTGCTTTCATCTGTCTTCTATTTGATTCCGCATTTTATGATATCCATGCATCATCGGAGCGAGGAGTTGGGCATGGCAGGCTTGGAGCTTGGCTTGGAGCGCTGCATTTCTCTATCTGTAATTTCTAAACATTTCGCTTGCTTTCATTCTCGTCTGCGCATGTGTTAACACTTGTTCGTACCGTACGCTGGTGACAGACCATCTACCGTGAAGAGCAATGCAAGAGTTGATGCTCGCCGTGAAAAGTCGCAATATGCCGGTCATGTTCAGCAGCGTTGGGTTATCCCTCTTTGCTCCTTCGACCTGAACGGGCGGACCCTTTCCTACCCTAGGCTGGCGGTAACCCCATGTATCATCCCGCGCTCCACAGTCGCAGATGCTGTGTCTGGCGTATGATATGAATCCTGTCCCCATCTTCCGCATGATAAATCCTTCAGTCGCTCGACGCGCAGCCCCGGCAGCCGCAGTTCACGCACTGAATATCCTGGTTCTCCTTGAGCTGTTCCCTCGGCACGCGGCAGATACACGTAGATCGGAAGTTCGTCTCCTTCGTCTGGATGCACCGTACGCAGCACAACTGTCGACCCGTCAGCCGTAGCCACTCCCCCATCCCCCGTGTCATACATACCTTCTCATAGCCCTGCTTCTTCCACTTCGCAATCAGCATCGCATCTGCATACCCGTTCTTGAGCAGCCAGTCATAGAGCTGCTTGCTGATGGCGTCCTTCTCGTAGTATAGGTCGTAGATGTAGCGTGAGCGCTGGTGGGTGATCTGGAAGATGGGCCACACCATCTCGTACTTCTTCTTGCCTTCGTGCGACGCGTTCTCGGCGTCTTTCATTTTGTTCTGGAATTCGAGGAGCGTGTCTTCGATGTCTTCGAAGCCTTCCGGTGGCGCTTTTTTGCTGGCGCGCGCGGTGCGGACGGGCGGCATCGTGTAGGTGGTTGTTGGGCGCGAGGAGAACAATGGAGGGGGATTCGTAAAGTTCGCGGATAAGCTGGCGGAACTGTGCTAGGCGTCTCGTTCCTGGTGGAGCAATAGATCGTGGAGTGGGGATGTTCTGGGGAAAAGTTGCCGCATAGCTCTATCGGATCGGGCTTATGTAATGAGACTTGGCAAGAGCACTCCACCCAAGCCGCATCGTCACAGCACCAGCTCCGACCCCAAGTTCAGGCCCCACAACACCGCAGTCATGGTCATCAACCCGACATACCTCGCTCAGCGCACACGTTCCTGTGAGTGAAATATATTCTCGTGCAATTGAGCCGCCAGCGGGGCTAACGCGGTCATAGCAGCCGGGTGGAACGATGCGAGGCGGAGGGTCCTCCACAGCTACCGGCACTGGTTGAGAGCTGTACGTCGCCTTTTAATACCCGTACCCTTGCCCTTGGCGCTCTCTTTGGCCTTTCGGAGACGCGGCGGTATACTGGGATTAGAAGGGGAGAGGACGAGATGAGCGAGAAGTGCTTCGGCAGCTGGACGCGGGCGCGGAGAGGACACAAGAACACTGCTGATGAGAACATGCAGGCCCCGGAAATCCAGTCCATGTACACCCTCAGCCTACCGGTGTCCACAATCCGAACAAAAGTGCGGCAGGAGTTCGAGCGGCATCGATACGTGAATCAGCTAAAGACAGTCGATGTGCTGCTGTTTCACAGCCATCAGGAGTTCCAGGTATGGCATATGTATCCTAGACGTGGCGGGGTATTGCTGTCCAGCTTGGGAGGACTGCTTGAACTTGCGGAACAAAGGGGAATGATACGTGGGCAGCTGTTAATGTGTGCCAGGAAACCCTCAATTACTGGAAACAACTCTCCCACGTTCTCAAGTACTTCCGCACAGAAGAGGATCCGAAGGCCAGGCTGCCGAGCAACTTCATCAACGGGTTCTTGGAGGTACGCATTCCCTTTAGCTCGCCGCATACTACCTCCAATTAACGTCTCGTGCAGGGTCGCAACTGATCACTTTCTCCACACCAAGGAGCAAAAGGGAGCACCTGGAGAACATGTACATAACCCGAGAAATACCATTTCCTTTCCCGCGCGCCCTTCAGCCATGTCACCTGTGAAACGCCTGCAATGCAAAGCTTTAGTTCCGATCATCGAGCGAAAGTCGTGCCGCCACACCTCTCACGTCTCCATCCTATCCTTGAAGTCCTCCCTTGCTGCCCTGAATTTATCCTCCACGATGTCGCACATGTCCATCAGATCTTGAAGCCCTTTTTCCAGAACCGCGTACACGCTGACGCCGTCTGTGCTCATGGTCAGCCGATCGGCCCTTACGGAGGTTCAAGACAGCGCGGAGCGGAAATGATGGGGTGGGGGCTTACCATATGTCTGGATGCGGATGTTCATTTTGGCCTCTGAAGGGTGCGGGATGGAGTAGCCGCAGAACTCGACGTCAGGGCTATTGTCGTTAGTCAGCTCGATGTCCTGAAGCGGAACATAATAGAAATTCGCGTCGATACGTACTTCTTCATGATAACATACCGCAGCGCATTCCCCAGCGTATGATCTTCCCCGTCGAACTGAAACGAAGCGGCCGTTTCTGTCGCGCCGGCCAACTATGTAGCACCAATCGAATCAGCCTTTCTCTTCTCTTTCTGCTTCTCTTTCTCCCACCATCGAGTGAGTAATATATAATAGGGTGGATTGCACATACCACTCGTATCCTATCCCGATCCACTGCGGCGTCGATCTCTTCTCCCGTCGCGGACGTCGGGTCGATAATCTGTACTCGCCCCGGCTGGCCTGGCATTTTTTCGCTGAATGCTTTTGTGCCTCTCTTTTTTTGCTGCTCCTTTTTGTCTTCTGCGTCTGAAGGCTCGAATCTGAGTGTCGATTTGAAAGAAGATGGAGTGGTTGGTTGGCGGCAGCGGACTTCAAAAATTTAGGTTCGGCGCTTTGATGATTCGTCGTGGGCGCCACTTTCTTTCTTTCTTCAGCCCTGCCAAGCTTGTACTAACGTGGGGTTGCTTGTGGCGCATTCAGCAGTGGAGGGGAAACTTTTTTATCCGACGTCAACTCAATCAACTCAAGAATCAACTCAGAGCTCTCCAACATTCCAATTGACTTCCACCGTTCTAGCTACCCACAGCCTTCTTCTGCACTGACCCGATTCCGCACCATACCCATCAAACAAACCGCCCACAATGCCGCGATCTTGCACCCTAAACCGCGACACCAACGAAACCAAAATCCAAGTCTCGCTCAACCTCGACGGCGGCGCCCTCCCGGCCTACGAACCCTCATCCTTCTGGACCGCCCACGACGAGCACAATGCCAACGGCTCCTCGTCGTCAGAGCAGCACGCCACACAAAAATCCAGCAGCCAAGACATCCAAGTCGACACCGGCATCGGCTTCCTCGACCACATGATCCACGCGCTGGCGAAGCACGCGGGGTGGAGCCTGCGCATCAGATGTAAAGGCGACCTGCACATCGACGACCACCACACAGCCGAGGATACGTTTCTGGCGCTGGGGCAGGCGATGAAGAACGCGCTGCAAGCGGAGGGTGGGAGCACGGGGCTGGCGCGGTTTGGCTCCGCGTACGCGCCGCTGGATGAGGCGCTGTCGCGCGCGGTAATTGATTTGTCGAATCGGCCGTTTGCTGTGGTGGATCTGGGGCTGCGGCGGGAGAAGATTGGGGATTTGTCGACGGGTATGTGTGCTTTCCGTTTCCCCTTGTCGCTTTCTCTTATGTCCCTGACTATCTGTGCTGCATACCCGGCACTGCGCTGACACAGCCACAGAAATGCTACCCCACTGTCTACAATCCTTTGCGCAAGCGTCCGGCACAACGCTGCACGTCGACTGCATACGCGGCGAGAACGACCACCACCGGGCAGAATCGGCGTTCAAGGCGCTGGCGGTGGCGATTCGGCAGGCGACGACGGTGGTCAAGCAGTGGGAGGGCGAGGTGCGGAGTACGAAGGGCGTGCTGTATTGAGAGGAGAGGAGGACAGGACATGCGCCGTGGCTCGGGAGGGGAGGGGATTGGCATGATTTTGCGCAAGTAGACAGACAAGATAGACAAGAATTGGACGAGGCATATACCATGTAGGTCGGACAGTCGGACATACTCTATAATGTGGCTAGTAGCCATGCATAAGTCGCGTCAAATAAACTCAAGCTGTGAGGTAGATAACTTCCAGCTTCCAAAACGAACCGTCAAGCTCCCACCCAGTCAGGCCTGCTCTGCTCAGCCAACGCATACCGCTTTGACTACTGCAATCATTTAGGTAACGCACTTCGGGTTGGTTTGTCACATATCCGCATCAAGAGGGTGCGAACGAACGATCAAGGCAGGAGATATATCATTTCTCTAAAGACGCATGAGAGAGAAGCCATGAGAGGCACCATCAGGCATATCTTGTCCTGTCCACATGCACCATTCCATCATCCCATATCTCCACAGTCCATAGAGACAGACGCTAAGAAAAGAAAAAGGAAAGCTCCGGGCAAGTAATCATTAGACCCGTTCAGTTCCGCGCGCAAAAAAACATCATGAGACGTTCCCGACAACCTTTTCGATTGACGGGAAGATCCATCGCCTCTTTTCGCCTTCGCAAGTAAAGCAATCAAGTAGGTGGCCCCAAACGCCAGCAGCTCATCCATATACAGAGAAGACGCACAATATATACGCCAGAAAGATCGACCCACGCTTATCCAGCACATCAGCCAAGCCAAGCCAAGCCACCCAAGACATACGCCAGGAAACCCAACATTTAAGGGAATATCGGATTAGGCGCGAGACGGGCCAGCCAGCTACGTTGGTGTAATCGGAGTCGTGGGTATCATTTGTCGTGACATTCGTTAGAGGACGTGTCCAGAGGAAGAGTCCGAAAAGGTAGGGAGAAGTGTCATTCGAAGGGGATAAGTCGTTTGATAGGAGAGGGTAATGAGAAGGTGATGCCGAAAGACATGGGTGAATAGGGAGTCAATAGGGAGGTTGAGTATCCAACCGAGAGAAGGTATCTAGAGGACGGGAACAAGAAGGGTAAGACAATCGCGGGGTACATATCCATAATGAGGTTGGGCACGGAGGCCTTATCGAGCTGTGATGCCTCGCCTCGACCCGCCCCTTCACCTGGCTATGTTGAAATCCAAAGGGGAGGCCCGTGAAGGCCTCGACCCAGTGGAAATCTCAAGCCGCGGTGAAGGGTGGGGAGGCGGACGGTGGCAGGCCAGCTCAACAATCCCCCAGGCCGTGCCTCCAAGGACACTGTCTAAAACCGCGTGGTCGAGCTGCGGGCAAGACCAGGCCTCGGGATCTTCTGCGGAGATCCGTTTGGTGCCACGGCTGAGGTTCTCGCTCCAATCTTCTCGAAGCCCTGAAGCAAGTCGATGCCAGGCTCAGACTCGTCGCTGTGCAGCAGGCGGAAGATTTCATCGTCATCATCTCGTTTCTGTGCCGGAACATCAAAAGACTGCGGCGGCGTAAGGCCAGTGCGTCCATTCTCCTTGTCCAAGTTCGGCAGAGAGAAGTCTGGAAGCGGAGCAGAAGTCGGAGGCTTCAGCAGCGGTGCCTTGAGTGGGGACTCGCTGCGGGCAGGAGACAGGTTGGGAATATTGAGGAACGACGAGGACAGCTTCCAGTTCGGAGTCGGAGAGTTGGTGAGGTTTGACTTCGCTCCGGTGATGTCGGCGAGGATACCGGTCGTGGTAGCAGCGCGTTCGAGACGAGGACGCTTAGCGCTCGGCTTCAACGGGCTGGCCTGATAATCGTAGTCGCCAAAGATGTCAAAGCTGCTCTCGAAGCCGTGGCCCACAAGATTGACGTTATCTTCATTCGGAATCTGGACAGCGGGACTCCACGTCTTGTTGTCAAGAAACGACGTATCAACCCACATGGGCAGGCTCTTGTCGGGCGATCCACCCACAAGCTCGCGCATCTTGTTTCGGTGATTGCGCAAGTTGGTGTTGGGAGACGCGGAGGCTGGTGGTAGGGCAGGGCGCTTGAAGACAATAGCAGGAGTAAGCGGACCATCATTGTTGTCGCTCGCGCGGAAAGGCGAGGAGACAACTGAGCCACCACCAGGTTGCTTCATATAGGGCCGTGCCTTGGATGGAGAATCGTAAGATGAGCCCCGGATGCGAGCAATCTCTTCCTCGGCCCGTCCACGCTTCATGATAGGACGTTCGAGATCAGCGTCAGATGTGAGCAAAGGTCCGAGTGGGTTGGCCTTCATGGCGGAAGATTCGATCGAAGAATAGTAACCGCTGTCACCAAGGCCGCCAAACTTCCGCTTCCGTCCGCCAGACCGGCTGTGGGAAGGGAAGAGAGGAGCACGCGGTGGCGTGTCCTGGCGGATAGAGCGGGAAACCGGCGCCGGCGGAGACGAATGGATGTCTGCCGGTGGCGGTGATGACTGGATCTGGCGCGGCGGAGGCATAGCACCTGGGTTGTGGCCATCGTGTGCGGCGGGATCCGAGCAGGGAATCGTGGCGTCGGATGACAGCTCTGTCTCCTCTGGAAATTTGCTCGAGTCAAAGCCCTTGCTAGAGCTCAGGGGAGGAAGAGTGGCAGACGCCGACGTCGTTGGACGTGCCAAGTCGCTGGGATAAGCCGGCACAAAGCCATCAGGGTTAGTGGGTCGACGGTTAGACTTGATCTTGTGGTACTGCTTCTCAAAGCCCGGGTTGATGACCCAGTAGTGGCCTTTTCCCGGATCATCCTTGGGGCGCTCCTGTTTTGAGAACGACTTGCTGAGAGACAAGTTGTGGCGGATGCTGTTCTGCCAGCCGGTATCCTGGGTGTTGCGATAGAAGGCGAAGGAGTCGGAGATCCACTTGTAGATTTGGGCTAGGGTCAGTCGCCGGCTGGGAGCTCGGAGGATAGCCATGCCAATCAGGTTCGCATAACTGTATGGCGGCTTGTTTCCGTCATCATCGACTGCGGGCATCTCGCTCGGCTCTGGCAAGGGTCCGTCTTCCTCAACGACGCGGACATCTCGCACCTTCTGCTTCTTGCTTCGGTCACGGAGGGGCGCCGCGTCCATGAGCGTACGCTTGTTTCCCGGCTTCACTGGTGGATCCGCTGCGCGCAGAGGGGGGAGGCTCGAGTCCTGGACGGTGTACATGTTCTCCTTGTCGCCTTGGGATGGGAAGTTTGCGAAGAAGTTTGCTCCATCCGCCATGACATTCGCCTGTCGTGAGATGGGTCGCCGTGCCTTCTTCACGGGCGCGTCTGTCTGAAATTCCTGCTCCTTGGGAGGTGGGAGCGACACGGTGTTGAGGCCTTTCTCGGCGAGGGCGCTTGGCGGCGGAGAGCTGGAGACGTGACGAGTCTTTCGTGGCGACGACGCATGTGCAAAGGCCGGGGGCGGTGCCAGGAGGGTGTGGGAGTCGGTAGATACGTCCGTCACGGAGGGGAAGGCGTCTAGATAGTGCGGATCGTAGGCGGCGACTTCGTGGTCTTGAGGTGGAAGGGGGTCTTGAAAAATCTGCAAGGACGCCTGTCGACGCGTTGCAGCCATGGCGGGCACGGCTCGCAAGGCCTTCGACGACCGTGTATATACTTGTCGAGCGCTATGACGCGTGAAATCGCGTGAAGTTTCTCGAGATGGGTCCGCTGAGGCTAACGGGCACGGTCGGCGGCGGCGTTTGTTTGGGAAATTGCGATGACGGCAGCCCAGAGACAGTCGACGTGCTGGTCAGGTTGAGCGCAGTCAATTGTCGACAGGAAGCCGCTGTATCGACTGCAGCGTGTAGGTGTGCTGTTGGGCATTAGAAAGGAGGTGCGTGGGTGCGGGAGCCAACTCACCTGTGCGGAGTCTGGATGAGGCAGCGCGGACTCGCTTCGGCCGGCGCTAAAAAGCAACGGGCGACGAAGGTCGAGAGCGTTGCGGCGGGCCGAGCGCGATAAAGAGCACTGGATGGCCGAATAGAATCGAATGCTGCGTTAAGGTGCTGCAGAGAGGGTGCGAAGAGAAGACGGCGGGGGTGCGAGGGTAAAAAGAGGATGTCGGGGTCGAGGGTGAGGGCGAGGGCGAGCGTGAGGACCTTGGAACAGGTGCAGCTCTTGCCTTGGCGGGGCCAGCCGACAAACGCAAGGAAGGAGCAAGGGAGCATCGCCCAATCAGCGCCGCCCCGGCAGCCCCGACGCGACCGCCATGACGCGCGATCGATCTCGAGCTCCTCTGCGAAGAGCCTCGTCCCGCGCTCCATTCTGCCGTCTGCTCGCCAGCTGTGCGCGCATTCCCAGCGCTAGCAGAGCCCAATCTCCTCTCTCGTCGCCGACGAGGGCCTTTCTTTTGTCAACGGAAGCACCGGGCGTCACAAGAGCTTCGGGCAAGGCTGCGGTACACAAGCCAGAGCTGCTCGACCGGAAGCAGCTGAGACAGCAGCGTCGCGTTCGCCAATCCCAGCGGCACTCCAGGCCTCTCGTCTCCGCTCGACAGTCGTTCCCCAAAAGGCTCCGGAGCGCCGCTGCGCAGCCTATCGTGCCGCCCGTATCGATATGAACCATGGGCTGATGAAACTCCGACATAGCGCGACGCGGTTGATCCTGGCTGCAGCTCACCGCTCCACCAACCAAGCCTCTCCACGCACCACGCTGCATCCTAGCACGAGCATCAGCCGGCTCGCATGAAGCCCGATATCAGTCGGCAATTCTGGGAGACGCGAAGCTGTCACGCCAGAGCCTACTCTACCCGTTGTTTTCATCTCAGCCCTCACGGGCAGCATCACGGACGTGACATGAGTTTCCCCGCTTCGTGGATGACAGCCGTCAAACCAAACCCACGAAAGGAGGGGTGGAGTCCCGGTGGACCAAAGGGCGAGTACCACAGTACCACGACCGTGATCTATCTCACCCGAGGGTTGACCATCTCGCTTCCGGTTTCTCCGGGTACCGTCTCCCATTTACCGTCCACCAATTTGTCAACCGCTCTTGCAGACAAGATTCGCCGAAGCACCTGCGTCATCTGTAAGGCACACAGCTAGGCCAATGCAGCCCTGGAGAGTTATGTGTCCATGTGGGACCGCGGCGCGCGACTTTATCCGTTGCTGTTCGATATGCGGGGCACACTGCACGATGGTGGTGCGAACACCCCACGACTCCACATGATGCAGCAGCTCCTCTGAAATCGCCCTCTCCCACCGTTGGCTCCTATGGAATGGAGGAAGACTTCAACTCCAATCAGTGTGGCTCTTCTTTTCGATTTGATTTTCATCAATTTTCCACGTGGTCACATGAGCATTCCTTCATTTCTTTACATTCCTTCTTCCGTCTAGATCGCGGGCTCACCTCAACATCTCAATGAGGTAAGCAGGATTGAGCCTCCATTCTCTGGCTTTTCTCGTGGAATGTGGCGTAAATTTTTGTCTATTATAATCTCCACGAGCTCCCTGAACTGACTAGGTCGGTCTCCCATTCTTTGGCATTCATGACGGGACATGGAATCCACTAGCAGCTCCCTTTGCAGCACGTGTCATTACTGCTGCACCATTAGCGAGATAGAGAGGAGCACAGCACGTGCTTCACATAGCGTCGCACGGTCGACCACCCAGCTTAAACAAATATTGTATTAGTGCGTCCGTTCTGCTCGACTTCAAAAGGATGAGGGTCGAAGCAAGAGAACGGCAAACTTTCCACAACGAACAAGTCTGCAATACAAATACAGCACTCGAAGCGAACAACGCAACCCAGAAGCTAAAAGAGTGACATGGGCAGAACAACAACTTCCAAACCAAAAAGACGGACAATCGCACAATCACCCGCCTTGCCCCCTTTCTGCTCCCACCTATCCCGCCATCTTGAGAAAGGTTTAATTCGCAGCGATCTCCATCCCCCTCTTCGGCAAACTCCCCCTAACATTCCAATCCACGGGAATCGGATGCACGCTCAGCCGCCCACACGGCCCATTGCTAAAGCTCAGTGCATACTCCCGTGGGAACGTCTCCGAGCCGCGAATCATGCCCATGTACAGCGAGAGCGAGCCAGCAGCGCAGGTACCATTGCCAGGAGTAGGCGTGCCGGTGGAGATGGGTGCGACGGCCATGGTGCCGGTCGCAGAGGGCAGCGTGGTATTGGAGGACGGAAGCGGTGTGCCTGAGGGGAGTGTGGGTGGGTACGGCGTCGGGGGTTGCGTGAGCCGGAGATGGCATTCTGACACGCCGGGCGCGTAGAAGGAACCTGCGCAGTAGGGCTTTCTTTCTGTTAGCGGTTGCGTTGCCGACGAAAAGAAGAGGAGAAAAGGAAAGCGGGCGGGGATGTCGGGAGTGGGAGTGGGAGTAGGATGCTTACAGTCGTCTGGCACGCCTCGCAACACTCGATATCTGAATCAGTATACAGGACGACTTCCTGATTAATCGGGAACCCCTCTGTGGGGCGGTAGATGACGCGGTCGAAATACAGCGGCTGGCCGTTGATGTCGATGATGTGGTTCACTGTTCGTTCACTCGTCAGCCTCTCCACGCCTCCCCTCCGAATGAAGAACTGGGAACTACAATACATACCAACATTATCCGCCCCACAAGCCGCATATACCGTCGGCGTAGCCGCAACCCTCGTCTCCGTGACCGTGCTCAAAACCGTAGTCGTCACCAGCGCAGTCTCGGTCTGCTGCGGCAGCACTTGCGTCTCCGGCAGCGCCGTGACAACCGTGACGACCGTCTCGTCAATAGTAACGAGCACGCGGCAGTCGACGCGGTGCGCATACCGCCGGTACAGGCCCGAGTACGTGCCGTTGGGGTACGCGATGAAGCCGGCGGAGTTGCCGGTCGGCGTCTGCCGCTTCAGCGGGAGGAAGGCAGCGGCGTCCGCGTCCGCTAGCTGCGCGCGCTTAATGCGCGACATGCCGCCCGTGGGCGCAGGCGTAGGCGCAACCTGGAGAGCTCCAGCGCCGAGTAGTAGAAGCTGGCCGGCGCTCGTAGGGACCGTGACCGCATCCGGGGTCGAGGTCGTGGTCGTAGTGATGACGCTCGTGCTGGTCAGCACATCGGTGAAGGTCGTCGCATCAGGCGTCACGGTGATGGTGGTCTGCGTGGTGGACGTCGAGTGGATGGTGTTGGTCGTGGTGCTGGAGCTGTACCAGGTGGGCACGCCGGCGGTGCCCGTGGGTAGCGGGTAGATGCCGTAGCGCGTGCGGCAGAGGGTTGTGGCGCTGGTGAGCTGGGTGGTGGATTGCGCGGTGGAGAGGGAGGGAAGGGTTACTGCTGCTAGGGCAGTGAGGAGGGTGGGGAGGCGCATGGTGGGTGGTTGGGTGGGTAGTTGCAAACGAGTGAACGAATGGATGAAAAAGCTGGAACGAAGAAGCGAGTGTGGGCTGCTCGATGGAGAGGAGAGGATGCGGTGCGGTGCGAAGGGTGGGCTTATATATGTGGGAAGGGAACTGGGAAGAAGCGAGTCGTGTGAGGCTCTATGAGGTGGTACGGGAGATCCGGGAAGCTGAGCTGGGCAATTCGAATGCGACGATGGACTCTCCAAGACACGGTTCATTGCGTCTCGCTTTCCCCAAGCCACGTAAACGCATCATGGCGTGCAAACACCTCGCACGAAGCACCATACTCACTGCCCAGAGCGCTCGATACAGACGGCGGAGGATCTGCTCGCCACAGCTGCATGCTACGCAGATAGCACAAATGTCCGAACAAGCGCGCAAGTGTTTCCTTGACTTACAATCCCGGCCCCAAGGTCTTGCATATCATGGTCCAGCTCCAAGGCGGCGGGCGTGAAGACCTTGGCTCTTCCCAGCGGCGAGGTACGCTTGGGCTGTGATTGTGAGTCTTGATCAATGAGGAAGTAAGAAGGGAGGCCGCCGTTGCACTGAGCCTGGGATGGGGTACTGCCCGTTAGCGCTGTTTTGGGGCGATGGTAGTACAGATACTCCCAACGAGCATACGATTAGAAACTTTTGGAACATGGCTGGTAGGTGCAGGCGGTATACCAGCGTAGACGATGGAAGAAACTAAAACTCGGAGCGAAAGACTGATCAAGAATAGAATGAGTGGCCTGGATGCAATGAGGAACGTCTATATGAACGAAAGTTGAAAGAAAGAAGCAAGACAGAGTACAAAAGGTGGTGTGTAGCTAGCAAGCCGCACTTGAAGCACCGGCAGCTGAGCTCCACGGGTGTGCGGAGCAATCACCGTCATCCCTTGCTCAAAGATGACCGAAGTGGGAAAATGTTCTATGGGTGGCGCTCAGCCACAATCGCGCCTAGAAAAAAAACCAGTCGAAGGCAATTCGCTTTTCAGGTCATTGACCATGATTCACCAAACGGCAGGATTCCGGAACCCGCTAACTCGGTTGCTCACCTCGAACTAGCTTTCATGTGCAAGGTGTGTGTTGCTCTCGAACCATGTTCAAGATACGGGACGCGCACAAAACCCAGAATATTCGGCGCCATAGCGAAATAGCTCCGACAGCGTAGGTGCAGAGTAGCAGGCTTCAGCTCACCCACGAGGTAAGGGAAGCGCGGTTCGAGTTCCTCATCACCTTCTCATCGGCCATCCTGAACCGATTCAGTCCCCGTTGCCCTTCCTCGAGCCAATCCTCAGGCCTGGAACACCTTTCAGCCCCATCTTCCCAACGATTCTCTTTTCGATTAGTGGCGGCTCCGGACATCCCATTGCGATGGCGTACTCGTTCGCAATACGCACTAGTTCCGCCGAACTCAGTCTCAGTTTCTTCATGAAGGTCTTGTTGTATCCGAGGTAGGCCTGATATGCTTTCGCCTTCGCTTCTTCGTCAACATGAGAGAAGGCTTTGTCGACCGTGGGTTGGTAGCTCGGCATCTTGGAGACAATATCGACAGGGTACGGCTGTATTGGTAGGCTCGGGTTCGTCTTCGGAAAGAAGCCTTCATTCGAGAAGAGAATCATGACTGCTCGACCGTCTCGGCCGGCTCGTGCGGTTCGGCCCACACGGTGAATGTACTGCTCCGAGTTTGAGGGAAGACCAAGCTGAATGACCAGTCCGACATTTGGGAAATCCATACCGCGGCCGACGACATCGGAGGCGAACAGTATCCCAGTCGAGGCTGCCTTGAAGGCATCCGTGGTCCTTGTTCGCGAGTTCTGATTCATGCGGCTGTGCAGCTGGAAGATCTTGAATTGTGGTAAAGCCTGTTTGAACATGTCGTACAACAAGCCGACACCGTTCGCGGTCGTGCCGAAAACGATGGCTTTGAAGTCCTGGGGATCCTGCTCGTATTCTGCGTCGATGAGGGCAAGGAGTGCAGCGAAAGTCTGCGTCACGGAAGGGACTGTAACGCAAAACTGCGGGACACGCTCAACCGTAGGTGCCTCCTTGGGGTCTATGGTAGAGAGAGACACATATCCAGGGAAGAGCACACACTTGACGACGTCATTAACGCTCTCAGGCAGTGTGGCGGAGAAACACATGCCTTGCCACCCATCGCTCTTGGGGGGAAGTCGCCTTAGAATCTTATGGATTGCTGGTGCGAAGCCAGCGTCGAGCATGCGGTCCGCTTCATCCAAAACAAGAGTCCGGATATGGGTGAACTTTTCTCGAACTGCTTCCTCACCCAGGATATCATCGAGACGACCAGGGGTAGCGATAAGGATGGTTGGATTCCCGTTCAGGAATTTCGACAAACTCGAGGCGCGCGCCGTTCCCCCGAAGGCAGTATGGCACTCTATCTTTCTGGGAAGGTAAGCCACAATGCCTTCGCATTCTTTCGCGATTTGCAAGGCAAGCTCCCGAACCGGGCAGATGACGAGGATGCCGACCTTTCCCTTGGGGGGCTGGTATCCCGAAAGGAGGTTTTGGATCGCGGGAAGGAGGAAAGCTGCCGTTTTTCCCGTACCTGTTTTGGCTTGAACAAGGCAATCAGTAGATAGAGATGGGAGCTCCATAAGCACTTTTTGCTGGACCGGAGTCATAAACCTGAAGAAGTTAGTTATGTTAGATCTTGTATACAGGAGAACGAAGCCACGGGTTCTGGCGCGTTCGGACAGCGGAGGAATCATGCTCCGAGGCGGAGGCTCCAAGTAACGGCGTCATGAGAGGGCAGATCAAGCGAAGCATGGCCCTTTCGAATGGGAATGCAGATCAGCAAGAGCGCCGCCTTCGCCGTCAAATGGATGTGGAGATACCTCGTCGGACTCTAGGTGGGCTGAGCAAACCGCAGTGCCCGGGTTCTTGGTTAGTCACGGAGATGCCAGGTGTCCTTACTCGAATCCCATTCCATTCAAACCAGCCAGAAGGCCTTGGTCTAACGTATCTGCCATGCTAGAAAAGGGGACAGGCTTGAGGCCGCTTGTAGAATCGTAGAGTGCGGCCACTTCAATCGTGTCTTGCTTGATCGGCATCCCTGGATGCTGCTTCATCGGTTGTGAGGGCAGGGCAGCGACGGAGCTGGAGCCTTCGGGTACCTGGTAAGGTTCGGAATGAGAGGGTTTGCGGCCTTTTCGGCCGGCGGCTCTACGCTTTGGATTCGGCGGCATGTTTGGAGATGTGTGTTGCGCGAATGGTGAGATTGGGTAAACCTTCCTCATGAGCCTTGCCGGGCGTTGTTGTGTTGTATAGGGAGAGGCAACAAAGCAGAGCACGTTGGATGGGAGCACAAAGGCTGGGGGAAAATCTTTGTATTGATTTAAGTGCCCGAGCGCGCGCGCTAGTGGAAGCTTTTTTCGCCGGACGAAGTGAAAGGCAAGAGTGAGCATGAGTTGGAAGGTGATTGCGCAGGTTTGCGGTGACGCAGCCGCCAGAAAAAGTTGAGCTGCGGCGGAAGGTTTCTCCGAAGCGTGCTTAGTAATACAGGAGCCCCAACCTCAGCCATCAATTCCGTCTCAATCCTCTTCCGCTTGCCCCCATTACACGCCTTTTGCCGTTGGATCGTTCCAATATCTAGCCTTACTTTTGGTGCAGGCCACCGCATCAGTAATCGGCCACACTATTCTTCATTTGTTCATCGCCATGCCGTCATCTAAGGGCAAGTCTAACCGGCCATGGCAAGCCGTCGCTGAGGAAGCCCGGGATCATCGAGATCGCACTCTATCACAGGTATCACCAACTCCTCCAGAAGTGGCTGCCGATCTCCCAAAGAACGTAATGTATATCCCGGAAGAGCTATTGGACCCTACAACCATCTCAATCACCAAACTCCTCCCAGAGGAACTTCTCAGCGTATTGGCGAAGGGGCAACTTTCCGCGGTCGAAGTTACGACAGCATTTCTCCAGCGTTCAGCGGTAGCACAAGGCCTCGCAAACTGCATTACCGAGTTTCTTCCTTCTTTGGCGTTGGATCGTGCACGAGAGCTGGATGCATACTATGAAGAGCACAAACGACCGATAGGGTCTCTGCATGGTCTTCCTGTCAGCGTTAAGGAACACATCGGCTTTCGAGGCTTGCGATGCACGACAGGATACGTTGCTCATTGGGATAACATATCGAAGGAGGATGCGCATGTCCTCCAGATTCTGCAGGATGCAGGTGCGGTGTTTCACTGCAGAACAACGATACCTCAGACCATGATGCATCTGGAAACGGACTCGAATCTCTACGGCGTTACCAGCAATCCTTACAACACGCGCGTGACTTCTGGTGGTAGTTCTGGTGGGGAGGGCGCTCTAATTGCCCTGCGCGGTTCGTGCCTTGGTATCGGCTCCGATGTAGGCGGCTCAATACGCAATCCAGCCGCAAATTGCGGTATCTACGGGATCAAACCAACGGCGTTTCGGATACCGACTGATGGATGGGGCTATCTCATGGCTGGAGCAGACGTCATCGAGTCCGTGCTAGGTCCTTTATCGACATCTCTTACCGGCCTGACATTGTTCATGAAGACTATTGTTGACGCCGAGCCATGGCTGACAGAGCCTGCATTGATCCCAATGCCGTGGAGAGATATTGAGCTGCCCAAGGATCGACCCTTGAGAATCGGCGTCCTATGGCATGACGGAGTCGTACGCCCACATCCACCAATCACTCGAGCTTTGAAGATGGCAACGGAGAGGCTGAAGGAGAAGGGTGTCGAGGTTACGGATTTCGAGCCGTACCTGCATGATGAGGCATGGGCCATACTCTCGTCGCTGTACTTTACCGATGGTGGAGAAGAGGACACAGAAGCTATCAACTCATCCGGTGAACCGTGGCGACCGCTCTCCGACTGGATAATTAAGGATAATCCCTGCGTCAAGAAGCTCGACGTAGGAGAACTTACATACTGGCTTGAGGAACGCGAAGCATATCGGAAAGAATATGCACTGCACTGGAAGAAGTCCGGGATCGACGCCTTACTCTGCCCCGTCGGGCCTGGTGTCGCACCGAAGCACGATACTGCGAAGTACTGGGGCTATACGTCCCAGTGGAATCTTCTCGACTATCCTGGAGTTGTCTTTCCGGTTTGCAAAGTCGATAAAGAGAAGGATCGCTTGGAAGAGCAAGGAAAGCCTCTCAGTGGTCACGACAAGGATAACCGCAAACTATGGGATTCGGAAGAATTCCATAGTTTACCGGTCAGTCTGCAGTTGGTCGGGCGGCGATTTGAAGATGAGAAGGTGTTGGCCACCCTGGAACACTTCACCGAACTAATCGGGCTTCCTTTCGAACAGTTTCCGTGAAGCAGCATCGGCGTCTATGGAAAGAGTAAGAATCATGAGCCATGAGCATCTACAGATTTGTCTCGCACTAAGCAACGCGCTGGGGTCATAGAGGCCTTCTCTTCTCCTCCTGATCCTAGACTCTTAGCTTTGGCCATGGCCGAGGTATCTCAGAAAGCCAAGATCGATGACACTGCTACGGTGCAAATGTCCTCCATGAGTCGAGTGATTTCACGCTCGGATAAACGGGGAGCGATGTACTAGCCCCAGCGTATTCCGAAGCATCGGAACAGTCGAGTTCGACGAGTGCATTCCACCATCAAACTCCGCCATCCCCTGCTGTCCAACTATACCCCCAACGATCCTCCTCTCGCGGTCGACTTCATCGGCCTTCACATCTCCATTTCAGCGATCCTCAAATCACCGCAAGCCGTGCAAAGTGCCTTGACGAAGCCATCATGCACGCGGATGCCTGGATCACCAAACCGACCTTCGTTCTCCATAAGCAGGAAATAATACTTAATGAGTGCTTGCAGCTTCCTCGTCTCGTGCTTTGTGGAAGCGCCATCCGTACTCTTCAAGGACTTGAACGGCTCAAGCGGGCTGAAGTCCTCCAGCTTTGCCAGGCTGAATTCAACCAATTGTTGATTCGGCGAGTCGTGTGCGTACAGCTTGATGGTGGGCGAGTAATTTGGTCTCTCGGGATTAATGAGGTAGACAAATACGTTGAGCGTGGAAGACTGGGTGCGTGGGCGCCATGTGCCGATTAGCATGCGGTAGGGGAAATCGTCTGGGAAGACGGTCTGCTGGGTGAAGTAGACATCCATGCAAGGGATCAAGTCGAGGAGATGGACTTTGTCACCCAAACGCTGCAGGAGGTCTGCGAGGGTGGCAGAATCACGGACGAGAACTTGGCTCCCCATGGACCAGATGGTTTCGCAATCTTTCGGTATGTCTCGCTCTTGTTCTGCATCCGAATCGTCCAACCCTTCGACATCTAATGCGTCTTCCGTCGCCTCGGCGTCCATTGTGGCCTCCGACCCTCCGTCTGCGGCGATCCACAGCTGGTACTCCCCGCTCTGCTTGATGTATCTCAACGCCTTCTCCAGCATAACTGTGAAGTCCTTCCATCGCAGCGCCTCGTCGCGCACCCCAGCCGCAAGGAAGCAGTACAACACAATCGCACACAGCATATCCCGAACATGTCTCACCCCCGGCGACCCATCATACTGGAGGAAGCAGAACGGCACGTGCAGATCGCCCGCCCGCCGCAGCAGGCTTGTCGCTGCCCTGGGTCGCGAATCGGCTCCAGCACGGCGAGATGGTGTCGCCCGCTCGTCTCGGAATAGGATCGGTGGCACGGCGGCGGTTTCGAGATCGGGAACGAGGTACGCCCATGATTCTACGCGCGTGGTGGTGTCGGTGAGCTTGCGGTAACCGAGGAAGAGCTTGGTGGCTGGTGCGCGGGAGGCATCGCGTTGGAAGGGGAAAGAGGGGGGTGGTGGGCAGGAGTCGAGAACGGCGAGGAGGCCGCGGGCTGAGAGTCGGGCACGCAGTCTGTCAAGCTCAGCGCGCCATGAGGCGGGAAGAGGGCGCGTTGTGATTGTTGACTGTGGGGCCATTCTTGGAGAGGCTGCGCTTGAAAGAAAAGAATCGGTTCGGATGCGGACGCAAATGTCGATTGTTCGGAGGTAAATAAAGCTCGGCTGCTGGCCCCTACCCCTAGGTGAATGAGATGAGATTCACTCACAGCAAAGGAATATGAGAGGTATTGGACTCTGGTCGCCCACGTGCATCGTCATCGCATGCTTTCTTCCATGTCAATGCCGCCTGCGCGAGAATGTTCCAACAGAATCCTGTACACTTAAGCGGGTATGCCATCTCTAAGCGTCGCTTGAGGAAGTACGACTTCGCCATCGCCTCCATCGCTCATTGCATTCCACACAGCGGCCCACGCGGTTGCGCTTTACTTAAAACTTCTCTACTGCTGAAGCATAGCGGGAAGCAGCACAAGATTGGCTGTGAAGTAGAAGAGGGTTAAACTGAACGATGCTGTAAGACGTCTCTATCACGTCTTACGCTACATTCTCACTAAATCGGGTTTTCTAGGTAGTCGCTTCCAACGGCGGTGCTGAAGTCGACATAGTAAAACATCTTCTCGACTCCCTCTGGGATTTTGTTGATCCGTTAGCAAGTACACATCACAGATGCCGTCGGCACGGCTGAACGCGGTGGAAGAAAACAGAATTCCCCAATGACCATTGATGAATTGCCTGGAAAGCTCTAGAGAACCTTACCGAATTGCAGGTCGGCCGCCACTGATCCGTACTGTCACCATGGTAGGGATTATCCTTAAGTTAGGAAGTTCTCCGAGAATTGCCCCTAAAGCGTGTGTTTTAGAGGCAATTCTCGGAAAATTCCCTAAGTTACGGGTAATCCATACCGTAGTGCGACGTCATCGCGCTGACACCCAAGAAAGAGAAACATGAAACCCCCGAGAATATACCCCCTTATCATAGATTCAACAAGGGAGCACTTCGAAGCCCTTCCCGCACATTGCAGCAATAATGAGGACACCCAATCATCAGCCCTCCACTGTGCTAGACGCCGGTCGCACCTGCTGCTCCCTCTGGAGCAAGTCTAGGAACTGGTTAGTTGACCCCTCTATCATCTCGCACAGCTTGTCGACATGTCTAAACAAGGCTCTATGGGCTTTGCTGGACGCGATAGCAGTCCTCAGGAGTTTGTTGCCAACAGCCCGGGCGACGTTCTTGGCCTTGGACACCTCTGCGGTCTGCTTCCTGATCGCGCCGCGCCACTTGGAGAGGATGTGGCTCATTTCGCGACGCCGTGGACGCCCGTTGCGGCGGTATGCACGGCGACTCTCCTTCTCCTTGCCCTTCTTGCGGCTAGAGAGACGAGAGTTGTTGGCGTCGTTCGGGGATTGGTTACCCGCGCTGCGGCGCTCAGAGCGCGGTGCGTTCCGGGACAAATGGGTAGGAAGGCGTTTCTGTACCTTGCGAGAGGCTTCGCTGTCTGATTCGTCGTAGTAGATCGAGCTCTCATCGCTCTCGCTGATGCTGCCTGAGACTGCCTCGTTGCCGACCGCTGCCCCAGCCTCAACTGCACTCCCGTCGCGGTTGTAACCCAGGGCAGTCGTGTCGTCATCGAGGCCTGAATTCGGTGTGGCACGGAGCGACGTTCGGTTTCCTTGGCTAGTTCGCTTCTTTGGCCTAGGAGCGTTTGTGGCTCGAAAGGAGCCGTCACCGACGACGGTCTCAATGAAGGAGTCAGGCAGCTTGGTGAGCCCAGTTTTCTTTGCATTCTGGGCGGCCTGCTGGCTGTTCCATGTCGGCCGAGAACTCGTGGCCATTGTATTGCCGCTTGTCTCCCCAAGGACTGACCTCCCCCGGTCGACGGAGACACCGATTCGGACACGCATCTTTCCTTTGCTTGAAGCGGACACACCGTTTGCTTCTCTACCCAGTGCCGCATGCGCAGACATATTACCGACCGATTCGGCTGCTGGTTCGTCGTGGAGAAGGTCGGCAAGTCGCTCGGATGGAGCGGCTTCGACCCGCCTACAGATCTCCCTCATGTCGTTGCCGAAGGTCTTATTCCACGGAATCATATGGTTCTCGAACCCACGCAGCTTATCCTTCGCCGCATGCAGGAAGTAGTACTTCACTATAGCCTTCAGCTCGTCTACATTCCGGACACGGTCGAACGGAAAGCGCAACTGCACTTGTCCAGACTCCGCGTATGTGAGAAGCACGTCCGCGGCAAGATGTTCAGCCCGGGTCCCGGAGCCCGTCTCTATGTAGAGTGAGGGCGCTTTGTTGGCGTGGCTGGTCGGCTTGAGATACGCCCATACTTTCCAAGCCGAATGGGGCCCGTGTTTATCGGCGTAGGTTCCAAGCTTGAGGCGGAGATGTAAATACTCCTGGCCTTTCCCGTGTGCTGCGAAGTTAACGCCGCTCAGGGTCGGTAGGTGTTCAAGGAGCGTGTCGCCAACGTCATCCTCGAGCGCTTTCAGCGTCCCGCTTGATATGTGAATCGAAGGAGCCGTCGAGCAGACTGGTACTGCGGGTCCCTTTTTGCCCGGTAGAAATTCTAGAGAACGAGCGGTCAGGCGGGCTTCCACGTCGTCGTCCGTGCTCTCGCTATCTAGTTCCAGAGGAGGAGTGGAGTCGGGCCCCGACCGGGTGGAGTCTCGGGAGAGAGCAGGAGTTCCTACCTTAGTCTTCGGGCTAGAACCCGAGCGTTTGGCAAGAGATGGAGTAGGTGAAGGGTCCATATCCGCTGGTTGAGCTGTAGAAGTACTACCCGGAGCTAGGGGCGTATGCGGAAGCGTAGAGCTAGTAAGGCTCTCGGTGGGTGTATGCTCGTCTTCTAGATGGGAGTAAGTACGGAGCTCCGCGGGGCATGTGCGTGGACTAAACACACCTTCCGAGCCCGCCACGTCCGAGCCCGTCACGTCCACGTTCAACCCCAGGACCACGAAGCTGCGCGGATCCCTATTATCCTGGAGGATGCCCCGAAGATGCCTCACGCTCTCCGCGACCTCCTCGACGTTGCCGAGTGCCCTGAGCGCGCGCACCAAGTCCTTGAGCTTAGGAAGCGGGAGATCCAAGTCGGCGTCCCGCTCTGCGATGGCGAACACGAGACAATACAGCTGCACTAGAGCGAGGGACATAGGCTCCATCGGACTACCTCGGAGCCCGAGACGCATTTCATCTACGCGATTGAAAGGCTCGCATGCTACGAAGGATGAGGCGAACATCATCATGTCGCTCTCTCTAGTCACTGAGCGGATTTGGCCATTGTACAAGGTCAGCGTGTGCATTGTACCGTCGGGGCATGCGAAGAGTAGACCGTGGTGGCGTCCAACGAAGAGCTTGACGGGAGCGGAAGCGGTGTCGTGGACTTCTATCCGCTGTTTTTCATAGTGAGGGAGGACTACCAAGACGTCTTCGAGGTTCTCTTGGGTTAGTCGATCGAAGAAGTTCTTGAGGAAGGTTTTGGTGGCTTGAGAGAGTCTAGGAGCGCCAGGGGTTGTGGTGACCATCCTGATAGCTGGGTGTCGGTGGCCGGCTAAGGGAGCCTTGGGTCGGCTTGAGAGATGGTGAAGGACCTTAGGGGGTTGGAAATGGTTGCAGAAAATTAATATTGACTACCTCGAGCACTTAGTGGGTGAGCTCTGGTTTGATCTACGCAGAGATGCTCGCTATACCTGGAGATGGAATGAATTCTTTTATCGCCGAGTAATCGCAAGCGGCTTAACTCAGGCGGTGAATTTAGGGGCTTAGTTCTTGAGATCCTATCGCTGTTGGCGGGGAAAAGGGAGGTGGGGTAGGAGGGGTGTTACCTCCGCGAGAGTAGAGACCTTAGTTGAGTGAGGCGGGGTACTGGAGGTGGTGATGCTTAGCTGCTGCAGAATCGAGATTGAGCGGGGCTGGGAGCTTTATATACCCCAGAGCACGACTTCACATGATAGTGATACCCTTTCTTGCAGACACATGGGCCTAACACAACAGAGATAGGAACTGAGGATTTAGCACAGCCGCTTCAATGAAATCAAATTGCGCTCTGTCTTTGCGCCTCTGCGAGCCTATTTCCCATTCTAATCCTCCGATGACGTAGCGTACCTTCCTGATAATGCCCGAGATCGGCGAGAAAAGTGAGCTATTCGGAGTTTGTATGCTCCGCTGCCCCCAGCGTCGTGTGAAATCTGGGAGGAGAGCGACGTTCTCTGGCCGGTCGTACTCGTCTTCTTCGTCCTCAGCCCTACGGGTCACGTCGAGCCCTTCCACTAACTCCGATGCACGTCCATGCTTCCAATCCTCCCTGATCGATAGGCTAGAATGCGTGAACGGCTGCCCTTACCGTCTGGTCGATGTATCATGCGAGCCATCCTCCCTGAGAGCGCATCCGTGAGGATTTCTGAAAACATTCTCCATACTCTTCACGCTCCGCCTTCCCCTCTATCTCCTCCGCCTCCGCCTCCGCCTCCGCCCCCGCCCCCGCCTCCTCTTCATCTTCCACCACCTGCACACTCCGCATGCTGGGCTGTAGCATCTTGTCGGTCTCTATGGCCTTCTGCAGCGTCTCAAACGCCCGAACCAAATCGCCGTACCGCGGCACCGGCAGATCCAGGTCCGCTTTGCCATTCTCCACAGCCCACAGACCGCAATACAACTGCACCAGCGCCGTCACCTCCGCGCCCATCGGACTCACCAACCCCTCTTTAAGCGCCCTCCCCCACGAAAACGGCGGAACCAGCGCGCAGGAGTCTCCCATAGGCCGATCAACGCCCAGAACCGTGCCCTTCTTCCGTAGCGCGCTATCTCGGACGACGACCCGGTGGACCGAGCCGTCGGGGCAGGCGTACACATCTGAGTCGCCGTATCGTCCGATGAGGAGTTTGACGGGGGTAGGCGAGTTGCCGGGTCGGGCGTGGAAGGTGAGAGCTTCGAAGGAAGGGATGAGACGAAGCGTGGATGCGAGGTTGCAGTCGATGAGGCCGGTGTAGAGACATTCGAGATCGAGCGGGATCCGCGGAGATGCGCGCGAGGGTTCTGGGGTGTTGCTCATAGTGATGTGGATAGTGACGCGGATGGCGGCTGATCTGGCTGATCGAGACTGTACAGTTTGTCCAAAACGGGAGAAGTTGGGCACGAGTACGGTGAAGCAAATTTTCACTAGGTGGGAACGTGTTGGATGTACGAGTAAAAGTCAGTTGGAAGAGTGAAAAGGAGGCAAGCTCCGCGATAGCCTTGCGCAACGCATCCCTAGGCATCCTTCGCTCCGCCTTCACACATCCAGTCTTTCCCTTCGTCAGGTCCCCTCACCGCCCCAGAGAGTTTTTAGAGTCATCCGAATTTGGGAAGGGATGCAACACTCCTTTCCTTGCTTACGTTAAGCTGCTGCACTGCGAATGATTACGAACCTTGGAACGAGCTCGTAAGCGCAGCAGCGTATTGATTGATTGATCGATTGATCTTTCCCGTTTTGAGTCACCAACCTATAGAGGTTATGCTGGTTACGCCTACGCACAAAAGGACTCAGCGCAGCAGTTTTCACTTCGCTAATGACTACAAAGGTACTGCGTTGCTCTATTTAATCCTACTCCATCATTCGGTCCCCCAATGGTGTCCTGTTTCGAAGTGTTGTGTGAAGGAGCGTTGCCCAGGTGCATTGACGATTGAACGTGCGCGTGAACAAACATACGCTCTGGGCAGCCGCACTTGCCGGCAGAGTTGGTTGCTTTGAGGATGCACGCTAGCCCCCGGGTTCCTACCCGTGGGCAGTCCCAAGCTCGCATTGCTAGCGCGGTGCAGCAAGTCTTGCAAAAGGACAACGATTGGGACGTGCAAGCCTTGAAATCCACCCTTAAACCTGGCCCAGGCTCTCACGGCGAGGGCCGGAAAGACCTACTTCTACGTCGCCAACGTTGCCGATGCCAACGCTCTCTTCCGCAAGAAGGACGCACTCCCGTAAATCATGAGCATCGGCGAACCCGCCGCTAGCGAATTTCGCCAGGAGGCACTATGCTACCTCATCGCCCGCTTTGGCTACATTGACGACGGGGCAGCGCAAGAAGGCCGGCGTTTGGACCAGTTCAAAGACATTTTCCAACTCGACGGTCACTGACCGCACCTTCCGGGACGGCCACATCACGGCCCTAGTGCCAAGTGGGCCAGGATTGACCAAGCTCCCGGAGACGGGCTACGCTTTCCTCGTTGGCCGACTCTTACAAGCCTGCCAGTGGAACCACGACTGCGAGCTGGTATTTAAGATGCATATCCTCCACCACGTCGCCAAGGCCGGCGGCGTCACGCCGGCGACGCAGGACAAGGTTGCTGAGCGGTTTCCCCAAATCGCCCGCTATTACCGCGCCGCAGTGCGTGCGATTTAGGACGGCCGCGAGCTTAGATGTATGCAGCATGTGGATTGGGCGCATCGGTGGCAGATGTCAGCAAGTTTCTGCGAGGCGATCCATTATACGCTGGAGCTAGCATCCTCCCACCCGGTCTTCGACGACCTACTCGATGAAGCGTTCCGCACGCCTCTCACTCCGCAAGGCAAGCCACCACCGTTTGTACCCGGCTCACAGTCGGCCTTGTTTGCTTGGAAGCCCCAATGGTGGTCTATACCTAGCGACGAGGATCTTGCTCTGGAAGCTTATTTGACCGACCCAAACATTCAAGACCGGATGGGCGACGTCGACTGGCTGGAGCCGCTTGCGCCTGTTGCCTGGTATTTCTCCGCTGCCGCCGTGGCCGTGGACTTCCTGAGCCGTCTCAGACGTGAACAACGCATGCGGATTCGAGAGAAAATCATCATTCGAGAAGACATGCGAGGTGCAGCTCACCCGGAGTGCCATGCAAGCGGCCTGATTCCCTGCTGCATCGAAAACCCCAAGCTCAGGATCGAGGTGCATATGGGGGTGTGGAATAGTTTGATGCCGCCTATTTGGCTAGAGTATCAATTCTGGGATTATGACGTACCAACAGGTATTGGCGCGCACCGTTTCCTTAGATCCTTCGCCGATTGGATTGGGGAGAGCCTGTCCCTTTTCAGCTCTGGAATGCCGGTTGGAGCCCTGCGCTTTATCCTCGAAGGAAGCGAGAAGGAGACTCTCCAAGTCTGGACCATGATCAAACACGCCGCCGGTTTGCAAGAGACTTTAATCCAATCAGTCCAGGTCCAACAACATGGCGAGATCAGCCTCGGCATCATTCGTAACGAGTGGAATCTGACTTGTGAGAGAGACTCTCTACTCAAGCGCTTCCAATTACCTTGCGACCTGCCGGTATCATTCTGCGAAGCCATCAAGCAGATTGTAGCGGGCACCAGCATCATTCAGTTCAACGGAGACCCCGGTGGGCTTTGGAACTCCCGAGAGATGAACATGACGCGACGATATTGGTCACCGCAGGATTTCTATAATGAATGGAGCTCCCTCAGCGCCACGTCGGTGAGCCTCCCTACCGGTGATGTAAGATTCTTCTTTAAGAAGTATGAGCTGCAAGCTCTTCTTCGCGAACAGATCTTTTGATAGGCTTCGAAAATCTCGGGATCTTTCTCCGCTCTTAGGGGAGAAAGCGTTATAGAGCTTGCGAAGGATTGACGTTTGATAGTATAATAGTATCCGAAATAAGTGAAAGATGCTAATGGAAAGGTGCGATTCTTTAGACATTCCCGTCACATCCTTCAGTGCGTGCCATCGTTGCTAACTACGTAAAGCGGTGCCATTTCCGTGATTATTCTTCTACATCAGCAGCTGCCTCGAAAGAGCTAGCCCGGCAATGATCCTACACGCAGAGCTTCCACCGCCTTGAATGTACCCTTTCACTTTTAGTCACCCCACCAAGCTGCATCCTAGAGTCTCTTAGACTATCCACGGAATAGGCCCCTCACCAGTACAAAAGACGAAGAACCACCATACAACATGTAGTCGTAAGAAACCCAAAATACCATAAACATCCGTGAACGCCGGAGTCTTACTTATCGCTGTAGCACACAGCATTCTAACTAACCCGAAACGAAAGAAAACTCAAAACCTTAAGAAAGGCATGGCGCCGCTTCACCGCCCCTGCCCTTGTATGTCCTCTCGATCCTAACCATCCTCTCGTCGCCCTAACATTATTCCCCCCCTTAATATCTGACGAAATGTGAGCTTCTGATCTTCACTGCGGTTGAAAGGACCCGTAAAGCGTCTGTTTGCTTTTAACGTGGCGCTGGAAAAGGTCGAAGGGTGGATGAATGTGTCTGAACGGAGACGTTTTCAGCGAGTGGCTAATGGCGGATGGGAACTACCTCGAACTTTTCCTTAGAGACCTATCCGTTGTAAATCCATGGTACTCTGTTAGGTTCTTTACTAACTATTGGATCCTCGTAAAAGTGGCTTTCGTATCGAACTGGGCAACTATAACACAACAAGTCTCTCCGAAACGGCGTTTAACTCCTACTACGTGGTGAAAATATGGGCCTCGCCCAACGCAGTGAAGCCTGAGCAGGGTTTGCGTTACGGACTCGTGTGGATCCCGGATTGGCCATCTATTCCTACTATGGCCACCTACTCAGTGCGCTTGGACTTCCATGCCTACAAAGGGCACCTGAAATACGACCACGACGTCTCCGCTCGGCAGAGTCGCAAAGCTCAGCAAATCGAGGAAGCGTTCCTCGCTGCATTCCTCGCTGCACTCGAACCTCTGTTCGGGAGCATCGCGGTAGAATGCTTCGCCGTGTCGGGCAAGAAGTCCGCCATCTGCGCTGTGCCTATCAAAGGGCATCGTTGTAGCGTTGGTGTCCCGGCTTTATATCAATCACGACTCGTCTTCTGGTTATGCTAGTCTGTGGCGGCAAAATACGCAGGACTTTGGCCGCAAAAGTCATCCGGGAGTCAATCGAGGGTAGGGTAATGAATTGGAGTCTGTTCGCAAGATTAATGGAACGGGACAACTGCTGTGGTTGACGGTGACTTAGGACCAGCGCAGGTTGTTATCGTGGCAACCGAGGCAAGAATAGGCACAGCTGCGTCTCCGTGAGAACATCAACGCAGAATAGTTGCATAGCTTCCAGAAAGATAGGTCAATTCAATGATTTCAGTCAGTCAGTCAGGCAGTATGGCTTAGCCTCCGACGGGCGGTGCAATCTCTCCTATTTCACTGACCGAATAGGATACGAACTCGAGCACATATAAAACCCCATCGGCTCTTGCAATCCTGAGGGTGCTCTACACCAGCACTACCGCACAAGCAAACCCTCGAGCACTCAACTAAACTAGCTAACCCTCCTAACTTGGCCCGGCTAAGAGCCTCATAGTGCAAAGCTAAAAGTTTCCCAGGAGAGCCTTTCCAATCTTGGTGCCAAAGTTACTCGAGGAGTCTTGCGCACGAGCCGCACTGGCGCATCCTTGCCCTATAAAATACCCTCTCGGATTGGATTAAAACGCCGTATCACATCCTCGACCTCTACAGCTACAGCTTTAGACTCAACTTCTACGTTGCCTCTGTCCTCGACTTCGACTTTGTCCTCAATCTCGACGAATCTCATCTTCGATTATTCGAAGGAATACGCAAGGGAGGTCGATGCGAACATAAAAGTTCTACGGCTTCCTCAAGCCCTCCTCCCACTCTTCCGGGATCTCCATCATTCTGTCTCGCACGACAACCTCGAGGAGATTCTGGCAATCCTGCCTAGCTACGGCGAGCATAAGTTCGTCCTCCAGGAGGGAAGAGCTCTTGCTCTGATTAAGCTCTTCATTACTCTTCACAGGGGCTACTTCTTTGCCTGCCCAGACAACACAATGCACAGCTGGGCCTTGGAGTCCAAGGCTATCACACCTGTGACACGCGAAGACAACATCATGGGCTTCCCATCGACGTTCGCTCCGCCTAGCCCATTCAACTGGGTGGAAGCAATGCGAAACGGGCTGCAAGGTAGCCCTATGGCTCCGGCATCGCTTATTTTGGTCTAGCTGTATTGCATTGTCTAGACCGTTGCATACAATCGCACGGATATCAAGGTTCCAGTACCGAACCTTAGCGACATGCTGATGGCTCTCAAAGCTCTTAGCAAGACTGTTCCTGCGAAAGAGGCGTTGGAATTCCGCCAGACCCTCATGCAGAAGAACGATAATATCCAGAGGTTCGAGGTCTTGGGCGTCAGCATCGATCTGACTGCAAAACCAGCGGGTATGTTTGCTATCACTTGAAGCTTCGGGACTCAAGTCTAATATCTTAATAGTCGAGAAGACACACCTCGAGGACGGTCTCTTTTCGTTGTTCCACAACTCAATTAATAGCTCAGATCATGCTTCGACCGTCGCGCAAGACAATAATTGCACGTCTCCTTCTCCTTCCGTCCGGAAGAAGGCGGTGGCGAAATGGTCCGAAGACCAACGCGCAGCGAGGCTGCGGTCCGAGGACGAAGCACGGCTCAATGCGCAACAGAGCTCGGCAGGCAATGGACAGAACACAATTAACGTGGCTCAGCCAGGTGCTGAGGGAGAAGTTCCCAAGAGCACTGGGAAGACCAAGGTGCTAGGGGACAAGCCCGACGATCGCAAAGCCGGCTCTTGACCTAAGAAACGTAGAGGCACACTGGAGACTTTAACAAATGCGATCAGCAATAGACTGCTATCCAGGCTACCAGACCTGCAGGATATGATCGTCGAGCGCCACGCAGAACGACGCGTACTTGCGCGTCCGTCTCCTGATAGGATCCTTTACCGAGGACTACCCGCCTGAAGCGGGGCCCAAGACTTGGGCTTATCTTAGGCCCGGCCATCATATCGACCGAGCTCCTGTCGTAGTCATGGAAGTTGGCTCAGGAAAGAATGCTGCAACGATTGAATATGTCGAACTCAAGCGGCAAGTCAAAGACAAACATCTGCTGCTGGTGCCGCCCTTTGACAAGGCTCAGTTTGAGGACGGACTGAAAGCAATTGTCAAGTACTGCTTCTTGCTTGCGACAGCATCGAATCTTCACCAGTTCACCAACCATTGTATTCCTTGGAACGTCACCTTCGAAGAGCATATGCGGGGCATATGTGAGCGACTTGGAACCGCCGATTCACAGGAGGGTTCTTCCGTCCCGGAGTCAGAGGATGGAGCAGGGAGCGAGCGGAGCGAGGAAGACATCCAGCAGACTCAGTTGAATAGCTCGGTCGGCTCTGCAGCTCAGGGCCTCGCCCTTCCAGAGTTGCTCTTCGTGGTTACGAACGCACGACTAACACTGAACAGTGCATTTGCTGCTCAGGAGGCGAATAGAACAGGCGTATTAAACCCGGACGTGCTGCTAGAGGACTTCTTAAGGGCTGTAGATTAGCCTATAGGATTGATCCTACGAAGCCAGCCTACTGCAGCAAAGGCACTAGCAAAGTCTTGAACTAAGCTAGTTACTACTCCCCAGGCGGACGGCGGAATGGGCGTGGATGGCGATGCCGTGTCCGCGCTGGCGCGTGATTACGACGAACCTCTAGTATCTAACGTTCTCTAAGATAACTCGGATGACGATGTTGCGATAACGGAAGATGTTGTTATCGAAACACGCGGCAAATTAGCCGCTCTATCGGTCCCGAAGACTAAAGCAACAGCAGGCGGCCGTCGACGGCATCCTGCCGTCCAAGGCTCCCCGCCAACATCTGGCGGAAAGTCACCTGCAGCCTTGGTTGCTCTCGCATCCCCTGCCCCTCGTTAGCGTACGTACACAGAGCAAATCTAGTCTGAGCGGTGGGGCGCTGTTACTAAGCAGATTAGCAAGGTGGCTAAACACTGGAAACGTGCGCAGAGACGACAGAAGAAGAACATGATGTACCTTGAAAAGGTAGGCGAGGCCGAGCAGGAACTGCAGAACGAAGAAGCAAAACTCTAGCGCATGCTGGAACAGTATGAGACGCGGACTGCTATTGATTCGCCCGTAGTATCGGATAGCGAGGACCTGTTAGTGCTGGAGTAAAACGCCGCCTGTGGGGTGTACGGAATGGATCTTGGTCTTCGAGTGGGGGTAGGCTCTTTGGCGAAATCGGGTGGCCCCGGCGATACACCAAGCTCTCTTCATTGTTGCGGATGACGTCTATCGTTCATAGGCTGTGCGACGGTGTTTTACAGGCCCCATGTCTTGGGGGGATTTTCCATAGATTTGCTACCAATCGTACGGTAAGGCACGATTGTGCAACAAATTAGGGGATTCAGTAGCAATGCAAACACTATTCAAGGGACACTGTCAATTTTTATCGACGGAAGCCGACGTGAAGTGTTAGGAATGCCTATTGGAGCAAGAGGAAAGAAGCGACGACAAGGAAGATACCTCAAATGAACTACCTTACAGAAGCACACGAGAAAGATAGCTGCGTGGGTTTGTTGGTCGACTCGTAACGGAAGACGTGACAGCTACGAAAGCACGTAAGTGTGCCTAGGTCTGTGTGGAAGACTAAAAGACGGTTCGAGCACATGAGTCCAGCCACACGATTAGATTGAGAAGCCGTGGGGTTGGACGTGTATTAAAGTCTTGGATTGAGGCCTAGAGTAATGGTGCATAAGTCGATTGACTTGAGGACGGGACCCCGCCATCAAATTTTGGATACAATTGCGGGCCTAGAGTAGATCGGCGTGACGAGAACACTAACGAAGGGATTATTAGCAACATGAAGCCAGGAAATTGGCGAAATGAGGACGTCCGTGGTAGCCTTTCCGCAGCTGGCGCCCGACGCGGCTTTGCACTCGTCCTGGTGTTGCTGCGTTATGGGTAGGACACGTTGTGTGAAGAGTCGTTGCTGAGCTGTATCTGGTTGACTTGGGGTGGCTGGAATGGAGCGGGAGTAACTGCCGAAAAGGAGAGTGAACGCGTAGTGTGGTTAGTTTGGTTAGGGTGCCTCCGAGGTCGGTTGGGAGTGCAAATTGTGGCATGGGGTGCGCATTCTTCAGACCGGATGAACACGTGACTTTTCTTTTATATCAAGAAACTGTCGCTCTTTAGAGCCAAGCTAAACTAGAAGAAAGGGCTGTTACAAAGTCTTGCAGCAGAATGGTGCAAGGGAAAAAAGCGCTACGGTATGAGTTCTGCCCAGGTGCCAAGCTGCTGTGCCAAGCTGCTGTGCCTCTTCCATTTCTCCTTCACCCTCTTCCTACTCACGCTTCCACAGTTTGTCCACATCAATAGGCGCTGCTTTGCCACTTGGGTATGGGGTCGACGAACAAGGGAGAGGAGGCGGCCACTGACCAATCCCCGGAAGCCGATCTGGCCCGCAGTGGACCCCGCGTCCGGATGCACCCTGCCAACAGCCAACTGCAATCGCCATTATTTAGGAAACTGTCTGCTGAACTGCGCCTACTCATCTACGAGGTTGTGCTTGGGGATCCCACTCGACCGATGCACATCGTGCTTTACGATGATGGGTCTGGTCGTGTGGGTCGTCAGCGCTGCGAAGATATGGAATGCCCATACCCAATGTGGCGGCATAAATGCTTTGGAATCTATAAACCGGGCGACGGCCTAGGGGTGCGACATTCTTTCACGCCGTCCACGCGAGACGGACTGCTTGCTCTTCTCCTCACTTGTCGACAAATGTACGTAACTATCGGCAATTTAGCTTGCCCGCTAACAAGTGGCTCAGCTACTCAGAGGCACTGGAGGTGCTATACGCAGCTAACGAGTTTCACTTCAAAGGCCCGAGAGGGATCATCGCCTTGTACTCGTGTATTCCTCGGAGCCATTGGAGCCTGATACACCACGTGCATATTTCGACTGTTTTCTTATCTCCAACCGAGCGCTGGGAGAATGGGGTTCACTCTGGCCATCCCTCTGAGGTGTACAGTGTTTGGGATCGAGGCTGCCGCTCTATCCGATGCCTCCCCGCCCTACGATCCATTTGCCTCGACATCATCGTCTGGCATTCGCTGAAAGAAAGCCGCGACGATCCTAGCATGATCTCAGATCAAACGCTCATCCGCATTCTCGAACCTATCAAAGCTATTGAAGCACCTATTTTCGAAGTCGAGATCAACATCCCAATTCCGCACTCTGTTCTACGATCCCTTGGGCCTGTCAACTTCACTGTTGCTGTTAGAAGAAGACCCTATAATTCGACGGTCTTTGGTGTAAGATAGCACTTATTGTACCCATCCCGTCAAACCCGCAAAACAAACCAACCCTAAAACTAGCTTTTGTACATCAATGGGCACCTTTTCAGACGTTCGGGACAACTCTGCCGTCATCCACTCTTCTGGACCACGTGTCATCTAAAAGTTTGCAAGCTACCATCGTTAGCACAAGTCAAGCACAATCCTATGAAGGGGAGATGCCATACCACTGGCAAAGAGAGCTACTGAATCAGAATTGTGGTCTGGCGCGTCTATACGAGGTCTGTATAGACCAACGACATCGCCTCCATATTTCGCAAGCTGTTTGGCCCATTTCCAACCATATGCGGGAGGCCGAACTAGAGGCATCAAGAAATGGTTCCTCGGAGTGGGTACCTTCGCTCAAATATTAGATTGAAACACATCTGGGAGAACTTACTCGAAAGGCATCATACATCTCTAAGCCCACACGCCGTATCGTCGTCTTTCAGCTCACGCTGGTGCCAGGCTGCACGTTCATGGGTCGTTTCATGCAGAAGAACCTTATCGAGCAAGGATAGTGCGTCTATGTTGGGTTAGTATGTCAATGCTTCATACGAGGACTTGGGTACCATACCTATCTGTCGAAGTCCAAAGTTATTCTCGGTCAGCTCGATGACCCGCCTCCCGATCTTTGCCCTCCGCGCGACGTCTGCCTGGACTCTGTAGTCGTGGTTCTTAACCCAGTCGACAAACCACGGACAGAGTTGGATCTGGGAAGGAAGCTCTTTTTCGAAGTACCATTCTTTACCCGTCTTCCGGTTAATCGGTCTGAATGATTGGGTCGGATTCATGGCTACGGCGAGAGCCACAAATCCCGCGATGCCCCCATGGCACTGGTGCTTGTTGTAGGAGACAATCTGTCCGCTAACTTTGTCTAAGTAAAGATGTTTCCGGCGGAGCCCCTCCGTGACATCCAGTTTTTCGAAGCGGGAATCGTCGCAGAATATAACGTAAACAAGGACATCAATGATCTAAGATAGAACTGCAAGGTCTATACTTACAACATCGTCTCGCGGGACCTCTACGTTTCCAGTCAACTCTTGTCGGTAAGTTTTCCCAATCTGCTTCAACACGTGTTTCACCTTCTCCATGTTCGTCTTCGTGGGGTCGCGACCATCCTTCGTGAAGAGGTTCCGCACGTAATCAGTAGTCGGCTTGTCCCAAGGCTGCTGGCTGAGATGGGCAAGTGCCGAATCCACCATCTCGAAGGCTTGAGTCATCGCATTCCGAATATCCTTCTCGATTCCGGCAGCGCTACAAGATGAATCGATCTTGTAGCAGGCACCAATATTGAGAAAGAGTGAGAAAGAGAGGGAAAGTATTGAAAAGAACATGGTTGCAAGATGTGTGGTTTGGAAGAGTGAGTGTGGAAGTGGATTTGGGATTTCGGGGATGAAGGGTTTTAGTGGATGGTGTTCAAGACGAACAGTGAACAATAGGATGCGTGTGTTGCATTGCTGCGGACACCTTTCTGAAAACTATTCTAAGCAGGTTTGTCCCGCGTGATGCATGCAAACGTCTTATAGGCTCTGATTCCACTCCCAAGGTCGTGGCTATGAGCACAAGTCACGATATGTCCACGGTCTTCAACCGAAGATCTTTAGACGACCACAGCGCTCGCGCCGCATGAGGCACCCGAATAGTACCCAATGCTGATTTTGCGCTATTTAGATACTATTAAGCGTGGAGCCGCTTCCAACCGCGGCATAATTGAGGGACCCTAGATTAGATGGTACAGCAACAAGCCCGGGTATATGCATGCCGTGCCATGCGACATATCGCTTTCTGTGCCTCTTAGGATTCCCATTCTTAGGCTTTAGGACGCTAATCAAAGTCCTTCGGGATGCGATTCCAGCTGGCGCTCGAAGCAGATTGCAATGGCCAGCTGGCGACTGCCGCCTCTCGCAGACGTAAGGGTTGCCGCACGGAGCCTGTAAGTTGATGCAAACGGCGAGAGCACACGTATTAAGCCAGTTTGGTTCATGCTCCGTGTTTGTGAGGATCAAACTTTCCATTTTGTTTGCTCCCTAGGGTTTTTACCGTTAAAATCCACCTCATCGACACATCAACCAGCATCCAGAATGCTGTCTCTTGTTCTCTGAGCTTCCATAGTTCTCTCAGCTATCTTTACAGGGCTTGCGATTCCCCAACCGGCGCAGCCGCCACCACTCCAGCGCACCTCGAAGAAGCCCCCAGCCACGCCATACCAATTCCAACCGTCACATTCGGCCCGGGGAACGAGTATTTCCCTTCCCAGCTAGGGAAGACCATTCAACACAGGTATCAAAAGCTCACGCCTGTTGAACGTCTAGGCTACAAACCCTCCGCCCAGTGATTCGCTGCAAAATATACCCTACCAGCGTATACGACGACTACCCTGGCAATGGTATTAGCATCGCCTTCGGGCCGGCTCTCCAAAAGAGGAGTCAAGAGAGTTATCCACTCTAAAGGAAAGCCCGCTAATCAATTCCGAAACGCTCTTCGCCCGCTAATTCAAGACATCGATGTTGTGACCCTTTCCAAGCGCATTCTGGCTGGATACATGATTGGTGTTATCATTGTCGAAGCAATTATCGTGGCTGGTGCAGTGAGATACCTCAGCGACACGCAGAATCTTCCCAAGGAGCTCAAGTTCGCGTATGACGATCTGGAGCAGATTCATACTATTGGAGTGATGAATACGATCGCCATTGCTACAGACGCGAGTGCAACACCTTACACGATAACCGTCCCGCCTCCTCCAACCAAGACTCCTATAGATGTCATAAGTATCGAGACATTGACCACAGACAACGGAGAGCGCAACGCTGGAGATACTGTCTACCGCATTCCCGAACGTATAGGCCAACGGCTCCAGGACTTCCTTGGCATGGTGAGTCTTTCGCTATCACAGGACCTGTGCAAAGGAAAGGATCTGGCCGAGCGGGTTCCGGATACTGCTGAAGTCTGCCTGCGACAGCTTCGCCCACTAGGAGCAGCTTTCGCCGATGACGGTCCCGAAGGCGTCATATCACTGAGGCAGCAAGATTATTACCAACTCCCCGACGCTGGCCAAGCTATCGGTTTCCCCATTAGAAACTACATCGCGGACGGAGTCCAGATTATTGCCCCAATTATTGTCCCAATTTACCGCTTGGTCCGCGTCCGCATACCAAACTCGGGACCGACTCCAGGACCTAGTCCCCCGAATGAGGAGGTATTCGAAGTGGCAACACTAGCCTGAAGCGCGGTAAGCCTTACAGTCGTAGCTCATGCCATCATGGCGGCCGGCCAAGTCGCGCTAGAAATCTCGATCCCAAAGAGTCAGCTTGCAACAGATGTGACGGAAGACACCTTCGCTTGTCCTACTGATCTCCTGTGTATCGCGGACGACTGTAAAGCTCAAGACGAGGGAAAGGACATTGCTGAAAGACAGACTCTTTGTAAAACGGTCAGTTGCATATTACAACTGGACATGGCATCATTGCTGATGGAGAACCAGGAAGTGAACTACGGATGCAAGTGCAGGAAAGTTAACTATCCGCATCACACTCTGGTCAAGCACGGCTACACGGGTGCCCAGAATGAGTGGTTGCAGCAGCTTATTAAGCTCGCCGATCTCCCAGAGTTCCAAACCGAATGCAGAGGCGGCAAGCAACATGCCTCAGACAGCAAGACCAAGTTCAAAGAGTGAGTCTCCACGAAAGAATTTCGGAAGAATGCACACTAACAAAACACACAGAAAGGTGAACGCAGCGTGCAAGGAAAATCCGGAATTAGAAGAGACCTGGACGTTCTCGGATTCTGTGGAGGGGTTCACTTGGGGACTCTCTTGGGAAAAGAAAGACGGTGATTGTCTATTTGACTGCCAGACGATCTTTCCCACTTTCGAGGATGCTAGTAATCGCATTTACGATGATGGCCTTGAGAAGAATGGGGTAATTCATACTGATTGTGGGAGTGCGATTTACGTTGCCTATCAGTTAGGACAATAGTCCTCCTATAAATACCGATGGGAAAGATAGAGCCGTCGCTACAATTTATCATCGTCGTATCATGGTATCTAAGTATCCGGCGGATCTCAAACTACCCTAATTCCAACTTTCTCCCCATCGCAGAGTCCCAGTTTCCTTGCAGATAATTCCAACACTTCGAATTACTAAACCGGCGCATAGTCCCCACCCCTATTGATCTTCCTCTGCCGCGTTTGTTCCGAACCTTCTTGATCTCCCTTTCAATATAGTCCACTGTCCACGCTGAAAGATCCGTACTGTTCGGCCCGACCTAGGAGAGTGTTAGTCACAAATTGGGTACTAGTCCTTGAGTTTACTCACCTCGTTGCTGAACCCAGAGCCTTCTTTTCTCTTTTCATCGGCCTCTGAAACCTGCACTGATTTCTTGATAACCCGAGCAAGACCGGGCCCGCTTTTGGCCCTACCTCTCGTAGGGCTGTCATCCGCGCCTACCGACGCTGAATGGTCTGCATCCTGCTCAGGTGGGAATAGTCGCCTGAGCGCCTCTGCCTTCGTTCGGGCGCCCGGCGACTTCTCGCGGTAAGGGGATGCTGGTGCCTTGCGTGCGACCTCCTTCGGGTCAATACAACGCGCAGCTCTCTGGAGATCCTTCGCACGGCCACGACATCGCTGACGAACGTCTTATTGATTGGAAACGGAACGTCACACTGAACCATGAAGTAGTACTTCGCAAGTGCTTTGATCTTGCCATCAGCCCATGTAATGCCAGCGAAAGCCTCGGAAAGGCTGGTCTTCTTTTCGAGGTTCTGTGGCTCCTCCTTGCCGTGTTGCTTATTGCAGTCACAAATCCGCCAGAAGGAGAGCTCGTTCTTTTCATCCTTTGACAACTTGTGGAGATGGATCCAAATGTTTCCGGCATCCTTGAAGCTACCTTCCAGGATGTCGTGATCTTTGGCCGGCCAGTTCTCTTCGATCGCCCTCTTCTCTAGACGTCTTCTAAGTTCGCGCCGCGTCTCTTCGGCCATTTTCGCATTTTTCCTGTCGGTAGACATGATTAAGAAAAGCGGCAGTACCGAGCATATCGCAGTTTGGACGGATACTTGAATACTTATAGTTTCCCAACGTCGTCGCCTAAGCACGTGAATGAAACATGCGGAATGAGTCACGGGTGCAACGGCGTCACGTAGCTGAGATGCTTATGTGGTCATATTCTCATGGTTCGGGAACATGATCCGCTCACAGCGCACAAGAAAGCCGCCTAACAAGATCAGAGGCCATCCCATCATGGTCCAACACCCCATAACCCCATTTGCGCTCCATATCCCCCAGTCTATTACTGACGCCTACTACCGTTCACGAGAGCAATCCTGATCATGGCACGGTCGATCCGGAAGGAGTGTAGCGCTACTTGAAAGCACACTCAACGTCATGGACACAGCCCGAGTTCTCACGCGCCCGTCCTTCGTCGTTTGATGTCGTACTGGCGGCCAGCTTCCCATAGAAACTTCAGCCGATCATCCTCCGACATTGTTCCCAGAAGCCGCTTCTTCTTCTCTTTGTTGTCTTCCAGCTTCTGGTCGAAGCCTCGCTCCTGATTGCCCAATGATTCTAGCTCCTTCTGCAGCTCCTCCTTCCTCTCAGCAACAACCTTGATCTTGTTATTCAGCAGCGTCTCCCCTTCATGCAAGCAGTTGAATTCGTCTAGCCGCTTCGCTCGATCGGCGGGACCACCGGAGGGCGCAGGTCTGAACGGCTGTTGATGGGTTAGAGGAGTTCACACATAGATTTCTTGTGACGAAGCTCACTGAGGTAGCCGTGGCGGTTCCTCGTGGATATGTCTCCAACTCCGACTTCGAGACACGGACGTGAGTACTATCTAGCTATGGTAATATGAGCTTGGTATCAGAGACCAATTCGTCGCTGTATTCACCGTCGATCCTGACATGTCCATAGCGCTAATACTGGTCGCCTTCATGGCATCGCTCTCGGTATCGGAGTCGATCAGGCCGGACGGCGCATCGCTAAAGTCGGAGGTCTGGCTTCGCGAATCATCGGCTCCGCTAATGCGGACAGTAGTTTGGGCGGCGCTTCCGATTGAATCGAACCCCATGTGATGACTGCGAGAGTCAGTTGCGGCTTGTTTTCCGCATGAGTGCGACAAGCTATGTCATCAGAACGTACTTGGAGGTCACCGTATCGGCTTGGCTACTGCTTCGTCGTGGCGGGACGTCTTCACGCTGGTTGCTGTGACACTTCGATGACCGGCGCGACCGCATAGCCTCAGCATCCGTACCCTTAGCCTTTGCCTTCGTGCCCTTAGCCTCATCGCATTCTCGACACACCACCTTAAGGGCATCGATGAATTTGCTGTAAGCGGCATCGCAAACTCTAGCTCATCAATTTGATGTGCAACCATCTTCTCCAGAAAGTAGTATTTCGCAAGCGCCGTAATCTTGTCCCTGCTCACCGCGCCTCGAAAAGGCTCTGCAGGCTCCTCCCCAACACGCCCTATATTGTCCGTGTCGAAGTGGATCGGTTTGCAGTCCGGCTCGTAGCAGCGAAACGCAAGCTCCGGAGAACGGCCCTCTTTACCAGGCGGGAAGAGATATATCCACACGTTATGACGAGTATTATCCGCGGCCTTCTTTCGCATCCGCCCGTAGAAGATCTTGATCGAGATGGCATCGTCTGCGTCGGATTGGGAGATAGCCACGACCTTATTCAGCGGAAGCCCATCAAGGAGCCGCGCCTCGTCGCCAAGTCGCGCTTTCAGGTCGGCTAGGTTCTTCGCGATGAGCGTCATATCCGCTTTTCTCGGTGGTAGGAGTTATGAAAAATTGAATGGACTAGGTGAATTTGTGCCCCGAGTTTGCCTGGCAAAAGAGACCGAAAGCCTTCGCTGCTTACAGGCGAAGAACACTGTGCAGATGTGGTTAACGGTTTCTCGGGGCAACTAATAGTCTTGGCGAGCGCGACCCGCCCAAAGTGTTGCAGTGAAGAAGTATGGTGATTGATGATGGTAATCATCACTGTGTTTATTAGCTCAGTATTTGCCAGCCCCATACTGGAGGCGTTCGTTCTCCGAACGAAATACCTGCCGAATTCCAACACCGCCAGAAAATCCGCAAAAACGACTTCCTAGATCTAATCTTATGCCCTGAAACTACGTCATACGAGCGCTGTCACCTGCTAGCCGAATCATTCAGCGACCACGAATGGCTGCGGCCATGGTCCCCCACAATGTCCGCGGTCAACGGAGAATCGCTTATGAAGAAGGGACGTAGTCTGAGGGAGCAGGCGGCGATTGGATACATACCGGGCTCGGTAATAGACCAGCCAACAAGCTTCACGGACACATCTCCCAATGCTTGTCAGATTTGTTGGCCACTACGTTCAATTCGTTCATGTGGACGGCTTATCAACGAACGCATCCGTCTGGAAGAATGCTGCCATCTGGAAGCATGATGCGATGATATCCCTAACCCAGTTAGCGCTTTTCATTCGCTTCGTAGTTGCCTAATGAAAGGATGATGACTGATATGCTCCCACTCAGGAAAATTGCGAAGATCCCGATTTTCCTTGGCAATGAGTTCCTCAGCTCCATGATCATTCGCAGAAGTGTGACCAGGTCTGTGGTAATGTTTGGCGCACTTATAGAAGGTCGGAATGTTGAAGCACTTGTCGCTTTTCATCTTTCTATTCCATTGGTAATCGGACGGGGAGCATTGCAGAGAGGAAGCAACTAGGTACGCCACCCCATTAGTTCTGACGGTATAGATCAAGAAATAGCTCATCAAGAGCCCTGCACGGCTATTGAAAATGCGAAGGTGAAGGAGCCGTACGGAAACCTTGGGAATCGCAGCGGAAGGCAGCTTATGTATAGGTATTCGAGAGCATCGATGGATTTTGCTCAGGACACCATATTAGAGGCTCCTTTGACCATAACTGTGCCAGTGTAAGTCGTGTGAAGATCAAAGTTGAAGAGGAGTATTTTCCTAATACAAATCTCCCAGCATGCATTAGCCTAGCGAACAGAATTAGCACGTCATCCAATCGATCGATGTCTTGCAGTCGTTGAGTATAGAATCGAAAGGCAACAAAAAACAGCGATAGCAACCCGGACATGGCCCTTATCCTCTGCGAGATATTCACGCGAGAATAGAAAGTTGGTGGTGTTTTCCTTCATATTACAAACAGCACGAAAACCGAGTAGACGTAACAGCACTGAACGAAGACGGGATAGTGGGCAAGGAGGCTGCTCAAGCGAGAACGAACTTTGACCTAACTCACGCTGCAGGCTGACTCTTAGGCAATGCCCTGCGATAGATGAGATGCAGCACACCACCACTTGCGTTCTGGAGCGCCTACACGAATTACGCCGCATGAAGGAGTCGACAGGGTTATCCACTCAATTATTTGCTACTAACTGCTTACCGGCATCTGATGTGATCACTGAGGACTTGCGGCACAGCATCTTGGCGCCAGTGGGGCATGTAAGACACACTCCCCTCCGATGCCAGACGACTTTAAAGGTGGTAGGATGGGCTGGGACGCAAAACCAAGCACACAAGAGTGTTATTACCGTTGGTCTGCATCATCCCTCCAATTTCCCGCAGAAGCAGACCACCACTCACGCTGAGTGGCAATGACCGCCTCGGAAGAGCCCGGATCGCGCACAATCGTGACTCTTATCGACCAATATGCCTCCGAGGACCCATCACGCGTATGGGCAGTTGTACCCATCGAGGACAGCAACTTGAGCAAAGGTTTCAAGAGCATCACATATGGAGAACTAGCCAACGCAATCAGCCACGCCGCCTTGTGGCTGCAGCAAAATCTCGATCCTTCCGTAACGGCCCTCGAAACGATTGCGTATGCTGGCCCCAAAGATATACGTTATCCGATTATCGCCGTGGCCGCTGCCAAGGTCGGCCGGAAGGTAAACACCACGGTCAAATTGCCTTATTGGGAGGACCCATAAGCTCACGGATACTAGCTACTTCTACCGTCACCATACGCTTCAATTACCGCCCAATCTTGCCTGCTTGATGCTTCCAGTTGCAGGGCGTATCTCTACGCCTCATCATTTGGCGCGAATGTTGAGAAGGTACTTTCCGGCCTGCGGGAAGCCCGACCAACTCCGCTGCAAATTCCAGATCTATCAGAGTGGCTCACAGGAAGCAAAGCTCTAGTTCGCCCATTTGAACCGCCATGGCATGGCGCAGAGTCTGAGCCCTGGCTGATTTTTCACACATCTGGAACTACAGGTAAACTCCCCAACTGCTCGGACCAACAAAGCTGATAACCTTAGGCCTACCTAAGCTCGTGACATACACCCACCGTATGATGGCATCTCTGGACACTGCAGAACTGATGCCTGATGCCGATCGTGAAACCATGAATCGCCACTTCGAGAACAAGCGATGGTATACGCCGCTTCCTTCGCTTCACGTAAGTGGCCCACTTGAAACATCCTGATTAAAGCAACCTCTAATAGTCTAAGTTTGTCGGCATGACCGTTGCGCTGCAGTTCACAGTCTACCTCGGATCGGTCTTGGTTGTTGGTCCCGTAACCTCGGGACCGGCATCGGTGCAGGTTGCGAGAGATACGATGAGGTACGGCAACGTGAAGGGAGCTATGCTCCCACCTGCGCTCATCGACGGCCTGTGTGAAGATGACGCGGGTTTGGACTGTCTGCGCAACCTGGAATACCTATATTTTGCCGGAGCTCCTCTGTTGCGTAAAACGGCCGAAAAGCTCCTAGGACATGTGACGATCAAACCAGCGATGGGCTCCACAGAAGCTGGCGTGTACTTTCTTCAGTTGACAAGCGAGGACGACTGGGAATACTATTATTTCCGCCCGGCCATGGGCTTGGAGTTCCGGCACATAGGCGGAGAACTGTACGAACCAGTCTTTGTTCGACAGCCGGCCTTGGAAAGATGGCAACAAGTCTTTCAAGTCTACCCGGATCTACATGAGTTCCCGACAAAGGACGTTTTCTCTCCCCACCCTTCCAAGCCTGGATTCTGGAAATATGTTGGACGCACCGATGATATGATTGCATTCTCTCACGGCGAATGCCTATACGCCAGCGGCATCGAAGACGAGATTTCCAAGTATCCAAGAGTCGCAGCAGTGCTCGTTGGGGGCCAAGGCAGGACTAGGCCCTTTGTTCTTGTAGAGTGGAAGGATGGTGCGCCTCACGACATGAAAAGTCTGGAAGGACTATGGCATGTGATGGAGCAGGCGAACCAGTCTTGCTCGGATCTGGTGAAGCTGAGCCGCGACCTAGTCCTATTTGCAGTTCCTGAGAAGCCTTTGGTTCGCACGGCGAAAGGTTCGGTGGCGAGGCGGGAGAGTGAGCAGCTATTTGCAAAGGAAATCGAGCTTCTCTACGAGAAGTAGAGGAGAGATTTCTACCTACAAAGTATCACAGTCTGGTCTTTCCAACAGCAATACGCGTCTCACCGGTCTTTTTGCGTACCTCTATCTATTTTTGCGAAAGGGTGAGCTTGTCTCTTTCTGACTTGCGGCGTACGGAACGACAGCTTCCGTAGTGTCTGATATCTTCTCGAGAGAAAGGAGATGTCCGGCTCCGTTGATGAGTTCCATCTAAATTGCGGCAGCCTTAGTGCCTCTACTTTCCCGAACTCCGGTATCCGTAATCTTTGACCTTCCAATCTTCTAGTCTGTTGATGTAGCTATGGTCGGGCGAATATCCAGGGGACTGATGATTGGATGAAATGTAAAAGCTGGAGTGCGAGGCCTGGCGCGGCGCGGCGAAATAGGAACGACGACCGGACGAGCTAAATTAGGTGCCAAAACACTTCAATGGATGTCCCAAACCCCTAGGGTATGAATGGCCGGGTCGTGTGCACCGCCGTTCTGACGTATGCGCATCTCCGTGAGGCGTCCATCGCAAGCATCCGCGCAAAAGTAACAACTGCGCGTTCGAGGCTGCACAATATCTAACATGCGATTCTGATTGCAAACAACGTAGAACAGTGCGGCTGAAGCAGGGATCTAAGATTGTGAAGTTGACTCATCCATGTTGTGACTCGGACCTAAAGATGACTGTTCAGGAGGCACAGTCGCCGCAAAGTCTAGTTAACGCCAGCCCTAACAACAAATCAAGCACCCATCCCACAACAACGCCAATAAACCGTAAAGCATCCACAGTTGCCAAACATCATCATATACCGCCACCACCGACTACTGTACCGGGCGTACTCCAACAAACCGTTCCGGATTTCTGCGCGCTTTGGCCGGAGAGAGTGCTTATAGTTTACGCGCCGCCTTCCCAGCCTTCTTGCCGGGCGAGGTATTTGGTGATCTCGCTAGGGCAGTCAATTCCTTTTCCTTGGTTGCGTTGTATTTGCCCTTCCCAGTCTTGGCCAGCACTTGCCGTCCTTATCCACGACCTTGGCCCAGTGCAAGTTCCGGTTTGTAATCTTGATGGGGTCTGTTGTAGTGTGCGTCTTGACTTCGTGCGCGTCCTTGCCTACCGCTTCTAATGCAAGTTTAGCAAGTAGTTTCATCTATTGCATATAAAGAACTCACCCATGCACCGCAACTCCAACTCCTCTATCACGGAACCCGGAGCCACATAGTTCGAAGTGTCGTGCTTGGGCTCGGTCATTGCGGTCTCTTGCTGATGGGGTATCGGTGCTATAGATGATTGATGGTGGTAGAATGTCGCTCGTTTTGTGCAATAAGCTAGCCAAAGGATTTCAGAAGGAGGAATACAATGCTCGGAGACAATCCTTTGCGCGAAATTTATATCCTCATCGTGAGTACCAATGACTCCAGAACGTAGCGGAGTCACCCATTAACGCTCGCACTCTTAGGTAGCCCGATCCCCACCGCAGCAGTGGCACCAGCATCGACCGGCAAGATGGCACCAGTGATCCACCTCGCATGATCGCTCGCGAGGAACACTACTGCACATGCTGCATCCCACGCATTTCCCTCCGTGCCCAGCAGACTCCGCTTTCTTCTCGCTTCCCTCGCCTCCTCGCTCATACCGCCCGCGTACATCATCGGCGTATACAGCATCTGTCCAACAGCACGTCAGCAAAGCCCAGTCCCCACCTATCATCCAGTTACAGAGAAAGCGAGGCTATAGGACTGAGAGCTTGCTTACACCGGGACAAACACAATTCACCCTAATCCCCTCTGGCGCGTGATGCGCCGCCATCGCCCTCGTCATATTGACCACCGCCCCCTTACTCGTCGGATACAGCAAGTGCGGCGTCCCGCCCTTCAGGCCGGCTACACTTCCCATATTCACTATGCTCCCCTTCATCCCGCCGTTGCTGTCGTTCTTCAGCATCGCCGGGATGCAGTGCTTGGCCATCTGCACCATACTGCTGACATTGATCTCCAGGCCCTTCGCCCAGGCAGCCATGTCGACATCGACAGCTGTGCCTGGTGCGCCGCCAATCCCTACGTTGTTTACGAGGATATCTAGTCTCCCAAAATCCTTCAATGCTCGCTCTACGGCGGCCTCGCAGTCCGAAGCCGCGGTGACGTCGCATTGCAATGCTACGGCCTTTCCGCGATTAGGTTTCGAGTTCGCCATATCGGCGGTCCTTTGCGCGTCCTCGAGATTCAGGTCCAGACACAGCACATTGCAACCTTCGTCGGCGAGCATGATGGATATCGCACGGCCATTCCCGATTCCGTCCCCGGTGCAGCCGGCACCGGTCACGATTGCGGCCTTCCCGCGAAGACCACGAGAGGGCGGGTCGAGGGGGATGGACATGGCGGAGCGACGATGTTTCGGGAAGGAGTAGTGATGGTCGTTGGCACGTGATGTGGTGATAGTAAGATCGGGAGTAGGGAACGTATATCCGGCCGAGACTTTCACTGTTGAAGCAGTAAGCTTGCAGATTTCTTAATCAAAGAGTGATAAGAGTGAGATTGTTTCTGTTATGGATCTCATATCACCTACGCAAGAGCGGAGAGCCTCGGCACGGAATGCGGGGCGTGGCTCATCGCGCGTCGGGGCGGGTCGGCGTCAGCGTACTTGTCGTCACGTATTTTATCTCCTCTTACGGCACATGCGGCGCAACATCGCCCCGTACCTCTTCAATCTCACACAATATAAGTGCTCAACCCGTCCAGCAACAACGGCTATTCAACAATTCAATTCAATTCAGCACCACCCCATTAGAGCAACCCAACATGTGCGACTTCTCTCACTACGGCGGCCCCTCAGAAGAATGGCTCGCGCTAGAAAAAACACTCCCGACAACAACCTTCGACACTTCGCTCCCTCCCTCGGTGCTCAAGCGCACCGTCAACGGGACGCGCGAGCAAGCTTCTGCCGAGGCAATGCAGACGCTCGGCCCGCAGCTCCAGATCCAAACCTTTTCCATCGGCACGCGCGACGGCGCGGCCATCCAGGCACGCAGCTACCGCCCCAAGTCCAAGCCTGCGGCGGACAAACTGCCCGTGTATTTGTACTTCCACGGCGGGGGATTTATCTTCGGTAGCTTGGAGAGCGAGGACGCGACGTGTGCGCAGATAGCGCTGCGGACGGGCGTTGTGGTGCTGAATGTGAATTATCGGCATACGCCTGAGCATACTTACCCCATCGCATGGGAAGACGCGCAGGACGCGTTCGCGTGGCTGCATCAGAACATCGATAAGCTTGGCGCTGACCCGGCGAAGGTCGTGGTGGGCGGCGTATCGGCGGGCGGGCAGCTCACGGCGAGTTTGGTGCTGGATAAGCATCTGGACAAGAGCGAGGTGCTGAAGGGGCTCCCTGAGATCGCGGGCCAGGTGCTCATCATACCGTGCGTGGCGTCGCCGGACACGTATGCCGAGGGCCCGCTCAAGAAGATGAAGAGCCCTGAAATCTCGTCGTACGTTGAGAACGAATTCGCGCCTATTCTGTCGAAGAAAACTGTCGAGTACTTCACTTCGTATCTTAAAACGGGGATCCCTGAACTCAAAGACACTAAGCTCAACATTGTGAACGCGAGTCCCGAGGAAGTGAAGGGGCTCCCGCCAACGGTGTTTGGTATTGCGGGCATGGATCCGCTTAGGGACGAGGCGCTGTTGTATGCGAAAATGCTGGCGGAAGAGGCGAGCGTGCCGACCGAGGTCAGGCTGTTTAAGGGGGTGCCGCATGGGTTTAGGAGGTTTGGGAAAGGTTTGAAAGCGGCGGCAGAGTGGGATAAGTGCGTCGAGGAGGGGATTATGTGGTGTTTGGGGAAGCCGGCTGCTAGTGGGAAGTTTGAGGTGAGAGTTGTTTAGTGAATCAATGGGATGCATGGGATGGTAAGCGGCAGCTTTGGTGTTGTTTTCTGTCTCGGTCACGGGATGTTGTTGGTAGACCGGTACGTGGTGTGGGAATGTTGTAAGTCTTCCCGGTGGCTAAACTTGCGCTCACGAAATATAGATACTAGACTTTCCTCCTCTTCTCCATTCCACTATTGCACGGGTTTGACACATGGTAACTAGGTATTGCACGAAGCATCATCGTGTGGAAGCTTCGGAATACCTTCGCCAAATCGACTCGCAACAGGGCACAGACCACTACTCCTCGTTTTCGCTGTCTAGGCGTCTCCCCATCCTCCGGGGAATTTTACAGTCCAGTCCCGCCATTATGGTTCGGATACAGCCCACTAGCAGTATTCATGTGGGGCAGGCCAATATGAGGCCCGGAACATTTGAAACAACCAAACCCATCCCCACATTCCACCTATCACGACCGCTGTCCTCTACCCGGGACAAAACACCAAGCATAACCCCAGACCATAACAGAATCGCCATTCGTGGAACCGCACATCATATGGTATATTAATACCCAGTCACGCTGTGAGTACAACGCAGTCTTGGCATACCCTTCATTCCAGCGACGCACCACGGAAGTACATGCATGCGTACACAGCGCACATCTTCAAATATGTCCCTGAGTCCAATCTTGAAGCGGTCATCGCATCCCCCTCCCCATCCACCACGATGCACTTCCTCTCCCTCCTCACAGCCCTCATCCTAGCCCTCTTCAGCCCCCTCGCTAGCGCGGCCAACTACACCAACCCTCTCAAAACCACCGATGGCTCGGACCCGCACATCGCCTGGTCGGGCGGTTACTACTACCTGATGACGACGACGTGGAGCAATCTGCAGATCACGCGGGCGACGACGCTGAACGGACTGAAGAGCGGCGAGAAGAGGACGGTTTGGACGGATGCGACGGCGTCGCGGTGCTGTAATGTGTGGGCGGTGAGTGAGAAGCTTTCTTCTATGCGAGGGTTAGGGGTTGGGTTGTGTGGTTGTGTGGTTGTGTGAAGAGTGGCTGTGGCTGACAGTGCGATGGAACGGATAGCCGGAGCTGCACTACCTCGACGGCGCGTGGTACATCTACTACACGGCGGGCAACAGCGCAAACCTAGACGGCCAACGATCGCACGTCCTCAAAGGTAAGTAAGACACCGCACCTCCCGCCCGGAGCAGCGCCGCTAACATACATCCGCAAGGCGGCGCCACCCCCTGGGACCCCTTCACCTACCTCGCGCAACTAACCAGCACCTGGGGCATCGACGGTACGATCCTACGCTTCAGCACCTGGGGCAACTACTTCGTCTACTCCTGCTTCAGCGGCAGCCTGCAATCGCTCTGCATCGCGCCACTGACCTCCCCCGGCAAGCTCGGCGCCAGCAAAGTGCTCTCCACGCCGACGAACGCGTGGGAAAGAGTCGGCAACCCCGTCATGGAGGGCCCGGCTGCCATGTACCACGGCGGGACCACGTATCTCAGCTACTCCGCGAGCTACTGCTGGACCAGCAGCTATAGCCTCGGTCTGCTGACGTGGAACGGGAGCGGCGATCCGAGTTTGAGTGCGAGCTGGAGTAAGAGCGGGCCGTGGTTGACGAGTGCGAATGGGAATTATGGACCGGGGCATAATGGGTGCGTTCTTCCTCTCTTTCTCTAACTCCCCCCTCCTCCAAAACCGTTACATGTTGAACGCGGGGATTAAGATTGAACGGTGAATGGAAAGCTAATAACGTTACGCAGGTTCTTCCAATCCCCCGACGGAACCGAGATCTGGAACGTGTACCACGCGACGTCGAACAGCGCCGGCGCGTGCGACGGCTCGCGCTACACGATGGCGCAGAAGGTGAATTGGAACGCCAACGGGACGCCGAACTTCGGGTCGCCGGCGAGGCTGGGGACGAGCTATGTGGGTCCGTTGGGGGAGTAAGCTGGATTAGGGGAGCTACCTGGGTAGTAGGCTTAGGTGGAGACTGCAGCGGAGTGAGGAAGAGGATGGTTAGATTTGTACGGCGGGTTGTGTTTTATTTTATGAATGGCATTTGTTGTTGGCATTCGAAAGGTCATGGTATCGCATGCTGGGTCCTGTGCGATCATATCTCACGATGGCGTGGCATTTCCGATTTACGGCGGGAAGGCTGCTCATTGCCGGCGGGCTAGTTTCTAGCCTCTCAGGCGCAAGCAGAGTATATCACCTGGGCACGCGGCTCCTGACAATGATGCTTCGCGCAAATTATGATCGGATTGAGGCGCCTCGAAAGGTTGCTCGTCTGGAAGATTGACTTGGAAATGGGTGTCTTCATTGATCAGGGCATGCAGAACCGAAGCTCTTTGAGATCGGTGTTGTTTGCCGTAGCGGCATGTGCTTGCCTCAAATCTGAGGACGTAGACTATTGCGAGCATTCCGCGGACGGCGGCGGGCTTATTCCTCCAGCCTCTGCAGGGCGCCCCTAGACGCCTAACCCAGCTCTCGCCTTTATCAGATCGGCAGCCTGCTTCTCAATCAGCATATTCCACGTTCATGAAGACCACTCACCTTCTCCCCAATGGCATATGCAGTGGTCATAGTATGACTCCCGGGGATAAGCGGCACAATACTCAAATCCGCAACGCTCAACCTCTTCGTCCCATAAACCCTCAACTCGCCATCCACAACACCACCCAACTCCCTGGGCATCATGGCTGCCGTCCCGCAACTATGCCCATTGCTCGCAAACATCTTCGCTCGCAACCAGTCCTCCACGTCTTTATCCGTTTTCGCGCTTGGCCCTGGGTCGAGCTCGACAGGGGAGAGTGGTTTGAGAGTAGGTGAGGTTGCGTAGTGTTCGCGCAGATACTGCGCCATTCGGATATGGAGTTTAAGATCGATGGGATTAGAAAGAAGGCGGTAGTCGAATATGGGTTCCCCGAGGGGGTCCGCGGGGTTAAGCTTGATGAAACCACGCGAGAAGGGTTTGACGAGGATGGCGGTACCGCGGGCGGAGCCGGAGAAGAGATGCTCGAAGATAGCCGACGTTTTGGATTTGAAGGACTCGAGGAGGATTTCCATCTGCTTCGCGTATCCGGCAACAAGCTCTCTCGGCAGGTCCGTGGGGAGATAACCGGCTGGATGTTGAGCGAGGAGCTCCTTCACGAACTGCTGAGTGAAATTTTGAAGGAAGGCAGGCGCAGGGAGGAAGAGCCCGCTAGCAACGACGTACGCAGCGTAGGGTCCCGTATTATTCTGCTGATATTGTGCGATAGCTTCAGCGCGGAAGGTCGCGTTGTTGGTTAGTTGTGCCGGATTCGGCCACACGTCCGTCGTGAAGTTGAAAGTGCTGAATGAAAACGAATGGTCTTGCAGATTCCATCCTACGCCTGGCATGTCGACCAGAGGTTTGATACCGGCAGCTTCTAGCACCTTTTTCGGTCCGATGCCCGAAAGCTGCAGAAGCATCGGGGTTCGCGTCGCGGCTGCCGAGAGGATGATCTCTTGCTTTGCCTTGACAGTAAATGCCGTGCTATTGCCAAATCGTGGTATGATCGTCACGCTCTCCGCCTCTTGGATCCCTTGCCTCCTCTTGAAATTTACCTTGATGACCCTGTGATCGGTCAACAAATGGTAGTTCTCACGCGGAGGGACATAGATCCAATGGCCCTGGCCTGAGAAACTGCGATTGTACGCTCTGGCTGGGTCCATGGCCGTAGGAATCCAGAACAGGCCGTACGCATGGCCATCCGCATGCTCTTTCTGCACCACAACACCCTCCTTCTCTGCAAAAGCCTGCCATTGAATCTTCTGGCCAGGGTACTGGAAAGGGGGATAGCTTGCATATATCGGTGTCTTCCCACCATACGCGGCCTCGACGTCGTAGGTAATGCCGAATTCTTCCATCTCTGGAGTCGGCTTATTGAAAGTGAGGCTCTTCTTGAAGTACGGCAGAACCCCATCCCAGTTCCACCCCTCGTTCCCTTCGAATCTGGCCCAGTTGTCGTAGTCGTGCTTACTTCCGCGATTGAATAGCTGGCCATTCACAGCAGTACCTCCACCTACTACACATCCATTTGCGACGGAAAAGGTTCTGTTATTCGTCTCCGGCTGAGGCACAGAAGTGAGATTGTAGAAGAACTGCGGTGCTGGGATATTCCACGGCGGCATGAAAGAATCATCTTCTGCCACGGTACCATATTCGACCACGAGTACGGTTTCTGATCCGCCGCAGACTTGTATCAGCCAGAGTATGGAGGGAGGAGAACTTGGGCAGCATTACTTATGCCATCTTCGGTAAGCCGATCGGCCACTGTAGCGCCCGCAGTACCGGCGCCAACTGCATTGTATTAGCGTGTATAGTCAGGGAATGGATTTCAAACTTGCCTACGATGTAGTCGTACTCCTTCGTGACATCAGCGGCGCCTCGCTGTACGACTGCGTTTCTCCACCGCGATGGCAGCGCATGCGTCGCTGACAAAAGCCCCAGAGTCAACAGTATTTTATGCGCCATTGGAAGCACTAATGAACTGGCCGATCTGACGTCTATCTAAGCTGCGAGAATGTGGCGCTCATGGCGCCTTTAAGGCTCTGCGTAAGCATCCTCTTCGTCCTCCTACAAGACGCCACCAAGAGGCACGGGAGGCACGGCCAAGGCGCTATCGAGTTGCGTCCCCATTATGGTAGCCTTGCGATATTGCCAGCCCTAGGCGCCGCCCAGGTGCGTTCCTCGATGGCGTCCAATCCGGAGTGCGATTCGCCGGGATGAATATTGGGGCGTAACGTGCGGTGGACAAGAGCTGTAGGAGCGCGGCACAGTAGAAGGTGCGGGCCGTGCATACCGCCCAGCCGAGAAGACTAAGGGGAGTCGGCAGAGATACCCAACTAGCGTACGCGTACGTTAGCGACCTGCCAAAAGCGTCGTTGTAAACCCTACCTCAACATCGCGCTATAATGCGCGTATTGTGTTTCTCAGAGTTATCGGGCAGAATACGAAGTGTAGGAATTTGGCTGGGGCTTGACTCAGGCTTCGTGTGTGACGTCGAAAAGGATAAAGCGTAGGATCCCGCAACCCGGTCGGGGCTCCTCGTGTCACCCCAGAAGATGCAGCCGGGGTAAGCCGAAGTTGATGAATATGCATAAGCTGCAGCGCGTCCCCTGGTGCCTCATACAAATCCAGATAAGGAAACAATGCCGGAGAGGTAAACGCCCGTAGGCCCAGTGCGACGCTCAATCAGACCGGAGGAATAGCGGCAAGGTGGATTGTTCGAATTTGTTGGGATGAACTTATAAGTCAAAACTAGGACTGCGATGCACGGGTTCGCCAGCGCATGCTCTTTACGAAATATCGACGCTGAGCTTGAGCTCGACGCCTAGATCTCGGAAGTCTTTGATCAGCACATCCGCTACGTCCTTCGGCGCCGGTCTCCACATGCACTCCACGCTCTTCAGGTTCGAAACCATGGCCTTGCAGTCCCTAGCAAGCCCATGCAAGCCTTCTTCAACATCATCATCCCACTCGACGTTGATGACCAATGTCTCCAATGACGGCGGGAGGAGTGGGGTGAGTGGTGGAAACTGAGCCGTATCCTCCCCATCGCCCCAGAGAACAAGACCAGAGACATCCAGATGCTTTAGAACAGGAAAGTCGCGCAAACTGCCGATTGCGGGAATGTTCTCCTCCATCGAGACTCGCCATCCTGATTCCAAGGTGTCGAGAGTTAGACTCTCCAGATCGCCCCTAAAGCGGAGCAGATCTTGACGAAGTTGCGGCAGATCGATTGGCGGCGCCTCCCCATTTTCGGCATCAGAGTGTGTCCAGCGATTCCTCCATTGGCACGAAAATATCCTCAGAGAGTTGCACGGTCGGAGATGGGACTGGATCTCGTCGGGCGACATGTTGCAGTTATCCAGTGTGAATTCATCAATGTCCACCGCGTTCCGTCTCCAATCGTCGTCGTCGTCCCACCATGGGCGTTGTCGCATCTCGATCGCCTTAATCCATTCCACGGCATGATTGAAGCCTTCGACTGGTTCGGCTGCAATCATGAAATCTGCATCGTAGCGATGCCACGGGCCTCGAAGCCAGACGCGTCGTAGGCGTGGATGCAACCCCGGTTGGTCAGCCAGAGGCAGCACATAAGTCTCGAGCTCGACCATTGCCAGGTCGAGTAGGTTCTCGGCAAGAGCAATTAGCGCGATGATGCCTTTTTGAACGCGAGAGTCGGCGGTGAAGAAGGTGTGGTGGTGGATCCGAGTCGCCCAGGGCGCATCTTCGAAGGCTTGCTGAAGTACCGCCCATTCGATATCCGAATAGACGTCTTTCGGTTCGTCCAACTGACTATCGAGCATCCGGGTCTCGATGTACTGCACATGCTTCATCAACTGAGGTCTCTGTAGTAGCGTGCTCCAGAGTCGCGGAATGAGGTGCCAGTCGGTGGGAGGCTGGATGATTGATTGGTATAGAATTGGGGTGCTGATGGCGTGCAGCCGTCGACATGCCAGAGAAAGCGCATGGAGCGTCTTGACCTTTGTTGCATTTTCCTGTTGGCGCTCTTCTTCCGGTGCGGGCGAGGGTATGAAGCCACGGATCGGGACCAGACAGCCAAGGATGTAGAGCAAAAGTTCGTCGGGCAGTTCGCCGATCTTGAAGGGGAGATGCTCATCTGCGGCATTCATGATGTCCGACATAGCATGGTGCTGTTCCAGGAGGGCGGCGCGGATGCAGAGCGCGATCATGAGACTGCGCGGAGTCTCTCGGCTGCACCTTCCGCCTCGGCTTCGCTTGCCGGCGCCCCGACCCCCGCGTCGCATCGCGCATCAACTGTCACACCTGCATCTCCTACGCTGTGGCAATAATCGGCGCTTTGCCCGGCCATTGCGCATTCATCTGGAAGTTCCAAGAAGACCAAGATCTCCTCTGCGCCTCCGCGCCATCGCAATGGCAGCCACGATGTCGCAATTCGACCCCGCATTCTCACCATCGCAGCTCACGAACAGGAGGCGTCTCAGGATACGTCGCAGCCACGGCAGCCATGAGGCTATATAAGGCCACTACGGTGCTCATTGTAGCCTGCAGCTAACGACAGGACATCCCAGCAACCCACCAGAACGGAACCGCCATGTCTTCGGTCGAGCAGAACCTGGTCGAAGGGAACGAGGGCTATGCCTATCTGTTCAAGCAGGGCGATCTAGCGCTCCCGCCGAGCCAGAAATATGCTGTCGGTATGCTGCCCTCTCTCCGCTCTCCTCCTGAACTGCAACTGACTATACGGGTATTTAGTGACCTGCATGGACGCCCGCATCGACCCAGCCGCCGCCTTCCACATCCCCCTCGGCGCCGCCCACGTTATTCGCAATGCCGGCGGCTCTGTCCGCGACGCCTTCCGCTCGCTCGTCATTTCGCAGCAGCTGCTCGGCACAACCGAGGTGTTGGTGGTCAAGCACACCGGGTGCGGCATGCTGATCTTCGACGACGCGGTTGCGAAGGATCTTGTGAGAAAGAACAAGGGCGATGCTGCAGCGAGGGAGGTCGAGAATCTGGATTTCTTGACGTTTCCAGACGTCGAGGACAAAGTTCGGGATGATGTGGCGTGGCTGAAGGGAAAGGCTGTCGAGCAGGGCATCAGGGTGACCGGGTGGGTGTATGATGTGAAGACAGGGAGGGTTAAGAAGGTAGTATAACAGGCCGGAATACGATGTACCCGGAGGTGGTATGCTTTCTCAAAGGCTCACACTGCTTGAGGACTGGGGGCTTGCTGGCGTTCCTCGGTCACTTTGCTGTTGCGTTAGTGACCTGTGAATTACGGCTGCAGTACGTAGCATCGGCGTAATCGATATAACCTCTCTTGACCGAAATACGCCACCTACTGTGTATGTAGAGATACAGAGGCGCGTTGCTTGCTTTGCAGGTTTCCGTGCGTCCCAGACATGGAAGCCAGGATACTTCGTAATGTCCAGGCCACCGCGCTAAACCCGCTCCGGACTAGCGTTTACCGAACGTCACAATCCACCTGGGCAGGCACCACCGCCCTCTCTACTCCCCCTCTCCCGTATCAACGAAAAATCTACGGCTCGGTGCACCGCCTTGCTACAACTCCTAAGCACGGCAGTCGATACGATGGCGGACGAATATCAACCGCCGGGCCTATTTGATCTTCCAGAGGAGCTTCTGCTCCACGTCGTATCCTGTCTACACCCCATTCGCTCATACGAGCCACAGACCAAAGCCTTCAAGGACAAGAAGAAAGAGCGCGAGCGTCAACGGGAGAACCGCTCCAGGCAACTAGCTTTACACGCACTCTGCCTCACGTGTCAACGGTTGAATCGGATCTGCACCCCCGTCCTGTACTCTTCTTTTATCGGGTCGACTACGCTGCACGGAATAGGCCCCCTTCAACGCTTCTGCAAGAGGATCGAGGAGAAGAAAGAGCTCTCGGCCCATTTGCAGTATGTCGAGAATCGGCTGAGCGATTACCTCGGGAACGACTTACACCACGACACTCAATTCCACGATGCCACCGACATGGTCTCTGAATACTGGTATGGGCTCGCTACTATCATCCGCCAGTCCCCGAACATTCAGCATGTCTGCGTCGTCTCTGTTGAATCTGGGGATCTGTCGCTTTGGAATTACCTCATCCCTCCCGACGAGCCCACACACAAAGACAAGAAGATTGCTGGTCATGGCTTTCCCAGACTACACACCCTCGTCTTGCAAATTCACATGAAGGAGGACTACGGGTCGGCACCGAGCGGAGCTTCATTCTCTCGGATGTGCTGCTCTCTCGGCTCTGTCCCCGGCCTAGCACGGCTCCACGCCTCCGGCGTTGTCAGCTCACCGCCTCCAGTCCTCATCCATGGGGACTTCAAAAGTTTGAGGCACATCGAGATAACGGAATGCACGACTGTCCTTGACCAGGTCGATCAACTCCTTGAAGCATGCAACGACTTGGAACACTTCGCCTGCCAGTGGGCTTTCCTGGACTGCTCCATTGACTGCCCGATGGACGTGCTCCCAGGATTATTGAAGCACAAGGAAACTCTCGTAACACTCCACCTGGACCTACGAGAAGTGCGGTTCTTCTCGGATCTTCATCACGAGATCCGGTTCAGCAGCCTACCCCGTCTCACAGCGATCAGGGAAGCAAAATTGGACTACACCTGCCTCCTGGATGATTATATTGTCTATTCGAACTCTGCAGTCCCATCAAAAGGACTCCACCGGACTGCGCCAATACTGCCGGCATCGCTGGAGCACTTAACCATGCTGCTCACCTTCCGCTGGCCTCACGACGACAGCGAATACGTTGACCATTTACTCGTGCTTTACCAGCTTGTGAAGGATGTCGCAGACCTTCTCCCAAGGCTACGGGAAGTAGTCGTTCAGTACAAGAATGGCAAGGATGATGAAGTGGCTTCATCGGCTTCAGCGTGGGCAGAGAGATTCAATGGGCTGGGAATCCGGTTCAGCCTTGTAAAAGAGGCAGATTCTCTTACATGAAGCGGGCCGGCGAAGGCTATGGGGCTGGGCGCTGACACTTCGTGGTCGAAATCGTCATAGCTTTCCGAAGAGTGACTTATGAGGACTGGCACGTGCGGGGATCAACTGGGCTGGCAGGAGAATAGAGAGCGGGAGGGGCCCTCAAACAGTCGCTCATCAGACCTTCGCCGAGCGTCTTCAATGGGCACATGATTACATCGAGTCGATCTGGTCTAAAAATTTCCGTCCTCTCTACATCCCACAACAGCGAGATTACATCCGCGGCCGCCGGCGTTCAGTTGTGACATACCTATCGGTCGCGCCCAGGCCCAGAATCACTCCGCTCAATCTCTTGTTGACTGCCGCTGTTACTCACGGCGCTTAGCGAGCCTTCTCTCTTACTACAAAATATCACCTGCGTGCTTGGCCCCACGTCCTATATCTGCTTTCGGAACAAATGTTGTCGGCGTTTGCCATTTACTACCGGCACGAGCACTACCTCTGCCCAATCGCGACGGGATATCACCCTCAACATCGGAGACTATTTGGAAGGTTGAGAGCTTGGCTCGCCTTCACCTCCATTCAGTGCCCTTCACCCCGGTGCACGTCCTTCTCTGCGGTATATAAGCATGGAGGCCCCGTCAGATAACCTCGCCCAACTCTCCACTCCACTTCCCCGCCAGAGTTCCGCAAAGTCCTCCAACCGTCTTCCCGAGTTCGCATCACTCCAGCTCAATCCTGCTCCGAAGCTGTCTTCTCCCTTCCAAACACCGACTACTACCACTATGGACTATCATAGCGACACTTCCCTCGAATCCGTCGAGATCCGGAACAGCTACTCCAAGGGCTCGGCCGAGGCAACAGGAGTCAGTGATCAGGTATGCGAATCCAAGGACATTGTTAAGAATACCATATTGGAGGACAAGTGCGAGAGCCGGAATGGCGAGAGCAAGGCGGTACCCAAGGCCGCGGCTTCCAAAGGCCCCACTCTTCCTGCAGCGAACGGACCAGAAGAGCCTGCGAATGTGACAAGCAACACTCATTCCGATGACCGAGCTGAGTCCCTCGAAGACGGGCAGCAAACAAACGAAGTTCACCCAGCATCTCCCTCCGGACCGGTCATACTCACTCTCGTCCCGAGGACACACACGACGCCTGCTGAGGGACATGTCGACATGACTCTAACTCCCATTGATGGGGTTGGAGCAAGCATCTCAATTGCCAAGGATGATGGCGGACTACCTCAGACACCTTCGAGTTTCCCCAGCGAGATTGGGCCGGCCCCGGCTTGTGATCGGAGGCTTTCGCTGCCAGACATGAATGCATCCGCGCCCGTCACAGGTGATCAAGTTAGCACGGAGAAGGCGCCAGCTGCTGAGTCCGACGAGATTCCTCTCACAGAGCGTCCTGGTGTTGGCGGTGGCGGTGGCTCAAATGGCTGCGAGGACGCGGCTGCTATCGGTAAGGAGGATAGCTTTTCAACGGAGGGTCGTGGAAGAGACATGGTCCCGTCCTACTTGCGCACCCAGCCACCATCGTCCGGTCGGCCATTCGGTTCCCAAGCTTCCCAGGTAGGCACAGACCGCGATTTTCACGAGCAAACAGATACTGACATGGTGCAGAATATCACCACTCCTGAGGTTGTCCGAACTCCTGAAGCACCTCGATACCGTTCCCAGTACACGCCTTCCTACCAACAGCCCATATATCGACGTGACGGCGACAGGGACGAGCTTCCTCGACTTCAAGCGATGCTTCTGAAGGCTCGTCAAGATCTTGCAAGCGAGCGGCTCATCAATCAGAACGCACGAATAACCGTCGAAGCGGAAACCCGGCAGAATGTCGAAGCAGGGTTCATGAGCATGCTAGCGGAGGTCCTGAGCAAGCAGGCTGAGCTGGTGAAGCAAGAAGCCTTGTTGAAGGTGAGAGAGTTGGACATCCAGCGTCGTGCGGAGCAGGTCGAGCAGCTTGAAGTCTTCCTTGCTGAAGGCCAGAAGCAGCTCTATCGTGACCTCGAAGAGCGTGGTGGCCGACCGTTCAACTCCGTCGAGCTCGAGTATGCGCGTCGTCAAGGCCAGACCGATGCGCTTTCCAAGTTCCGTGGCGTGGAGGCCAAGCTCGAAGCCAAGCTGCAGCAGCTCAACGTCCGCGAAGCGGGGCTCGACTTCCGGGAGCGTCACTACAAGGCACAGATCCGTGATGCGCTTGAAACCGAACTGCGAGAGGTCCTAGAGGTCGAGGTCGCAACCCGGATTAGCGAAGCCGAGTACGGACGTGGTTTCACAGCGGGCAAACGGGCCGGACGGGCCGAGAGCGACGAAGAGGTTCGTCGGGATGGGTTCTCGCAAGGCTACACGGCTTGCCTTGAGACACAGGAGCGACTTAAGAGGTTACGTGCGGGCCAAATCCCCCACGACAGCCCTGAGTTAGACTTCTTGGTGGATCTTAGCCACCCTGATAACCCGTTAATTCGTGGGGTGCAGATCGGGAGGTACGAGGAGGCGAGGAAGAAGAAGAAGTAGGCCTTTGGGATGCCTTGCAGCTTGGGCAAATTGCTGACAAGAATGGCAGGGCTACCTCCGCATCCGAGTCCGTGTCCAGCGCATTAAACGCTGCTCCGGTCACTCTCAAGCAGCACGCCGCGTCTACGAATGGCAATGGCGTGCAGCAGGACAATGAGGTGCCCAAATCCAACGGTGTCGCACGCTCTGCGCTCGACGCTCCAAAAACGAACGGCTTCGCGAGATATGTCGATGGTGTTCCGAAACTCAACGGCACGACTGCTCCAACGCCGAGATTCATCACCAAGATCAATGGCGCCGGCCCTCAACTCAACGGCCATGGTCCCGTCACCAACGGCATAGACCCCTGCATGAACGGCAGCGGATCCCGCACTAACGGACGTGAGGGCAACGGCACCTACACCAGCCGCCGCATCCTCCACTACGAGGACTCCGACACCGAGACCGTGGCGCCGGAGCCGACTCCCCACCGCCAGCAGGACGTCCGCCCGGAGAATGGCGTCGCCCCGGTCCAAGATGAGCCAGTTGATCTGATTGATCTCTACTGAGCCTAGATAGCGTCAATGGACGGAAGGGATGGAAGGTGAAAACTGTATTATATACTAGAGGACTGCCGGCCGCCTTTGCCTACCCCCTCGTTTGAGATGTATCTATACCAAAAGAGCTTGATAATACAATGCCTCACCGCTCACCTTTATAACATGCCTAATGCGCTTGTACATGGTGTGATTTGCTGGCTTCGTGACCGCGTGCAGAGCGCAAGGGGCGTGTGAACTAATAGTGTCATGAAGGTCACCCGGGCTAGGCTGGTAGATATGTGGAAGGACTGACGAGGGAAGGGAAGTGCGTGATGCATGTATGCATACGTTAGGGTAGTTTCCTAGGCTCGAGGCGTTAAGGTTGGAGCGCAGGGAGGGAATAGTGATGGTGGTGAGGATAGGGATAGGGAATGGGGGGTGGTCACAGAGAGGTTTTCGGATACGTGGACGAAGATGCGGGTTTTTGAGGTGCTAGACGTGGAACGCGAGGGAGGGAAGAAGCGGAGGATTGAGAGCTTGTGTTTTCTGGATGCGGGTATGCTTGTTTTGGCGGATCCTACGCCGCTGATCTTTAGTAAAGAGAACTTGGAGTATCTGCAAGACGATGCCGACGGCGAGGAAGAGGAAAAGGAACAGGGAAAAAGACTCTGCGCCACACACGTCTGCGTCTGCAATCTCGACGCCGACGCCTGGGCGCCGCACTCCTGGCGCACGGAGAACAGCGCATTCATGCCACTCACGTCGAGCGAGTAGATCGCGCCCGTAGATGCGGAGATAGAGACGAAGGGCATCTTCAACACAGGCACCTTCCTCTTCCGCCCCAGCGCCTCGCTCCGCGCCTCCGTCCTCTCCGCCTTCTCTTCCACACCGACCGACCAGCTCCGCGCGCTGAACTTCCCGGACCGGGATTTCTTGAATATGGTGTTTCGCGGGCGCTGGAAGGCGATAAGCTGGCGCACTGAAGACGTGGCGCTATTGGAATGCTAAAACCTGGCGCGATGCGGAAGTCGCGGTGCTGCATTACATTGTGGATAAGTCGTGGGCGGCAAGGGTGAGGGGGGATGGGAGCGCGGGGTATAGGGGGCAGGATGGCGTAACGCATGGATGGTGGTGGGTGGAGTGGGAGAGGTGGTTGGCGGAGCGATGGGGGCAAGGGGAGAGAGAACCGTTGAGCGTAGTAGGGGAGTTTGTGGCATCCGCTGATGGGGAGGGGAGTGAGGAGATGCAGGCGATTGGCGGGGGAGCGCAGGCGTTTGCTAAGAAGTGGGAGGGTGGAGATGATGCGGCTGCGGGCGAGAAGCGCGACGATGGCACATATGGGCAAGGCCCGCATGGGCCGGTGCTGAGGAAGCGCGTGGGCATGGGCCGGTTGTGAGAGGAGGGAGGGCGTTGAGGGGGAGAAGGCAGTGGGCGGGGGAGATGGAGATGTAGCTACCTAGGTAAATTTGGTAGTGTAATAAATAAATCGGGAAGGAAGGAATAGACGTGGAAGAGAATAGAGTAGAAGGACTGCACTGCGATGTCTCAGCAGCGGGCTGGGCACTCGAGATATGGTCATCTGTATCTGTGCATGTATACCTAGGTGTATGGCTTCAAACCTTTCCAGTCATACCCTCGCCACATACCCTCGCCACATACTCGGCCCGTTACCTCCCATCCCCATGCCCTCCCCAATCCCCTCCGTCTCTAGCCCTCAAACCCTCCACGGCTCTCAGCACAAGCCCTAGACACCGCGCCTCCGCCCTCAGCGCAGCAACACAGCGCCTCAGCAACGTATCCGGCGTGTACAGCACGATGAGCGGGGTGGCGGGGGAGTGCGTGTGCAGGGAGTAGGCGAGGAGGAGGGGCGCCGGCGAGGTAGGTGGGGCGGGTTAGGAGGGTGGCGTAGGCGTGGGGGATTGTTGTGTCGCTGTCGCTGGCGGTGGCAGTGGAGGGGGAGGAGGGGGTGGGCATTTTGATGTGGTGGTGGGCATTTTGATGTGGTGGTGGTTAGGTTGAGCTGTGCGGACGCGGTTACTGTGGGTGTCGAAGGACGTTTGAATTGAATTGAACTAAATTGAATGGAACTGGGCTGGGAGGAATATGAGTATGTTTCTGTTTGTAGAAGGAAGATATTTGCAAGGAATGACAGGGAAAGGATTAGTCGATCTAAGGGGAAAGTGATGCGTACAGCGCGTTCTAATTCGCGACCTGACGTCATCGATTCGCCTGGTCACATGTTCATTTTCCGAGGTCAGAATGTTGAAGTCCTTGGAGCCATGGACCCAACAGCTCGAACAAAAGAAGAGTGGGCTTGGAAGCGTCGGCCGTCATGCTGCCATTAGACGTAGCTACGTAGGGGTATCTCCATCCCTGTCTAGTGTCAATCCAAGCTTCTGACAATATCATACAGCAGTCTTAAACCTCAGAGCGAACTATACTCGCAGGACATGCTCACCCCCTCTTCCCATCTTCATTCGCTAGCGCCTTCCCCCAGGCGCTCTCAAACCCCGCGTCTGCACCCGCCCAGCTCTGTCTCACGCTCCCTGGCTGACTCAGCCCGACACCCAGCATATCTCCACTGACGGCTAGGCTCGTTCGGTTGCTCTCTCCGGCAGCGGTCGTTGGGCGACTGAGCGTTCCCGGACCCGGGGACTCAAATTCAAAATTACTCGAGTATACCACGGCAGCGAAGGCCTCGAGCTCCCGCACCTGCTCTATAGCCACCAGGTACTCATTGTTGGCGCTGCTGCCGATGCTGTGCGCTTGTCGGCAGAAGACGGCGAGCGAGTTTGCGACCTTCGCTTTCACGTCAGTGCCGACAATTTCCTGTACTCGCGCGGTGCTTTCGGATATGGGTGGGATCTTGTAGGAGAGCTGGGAAATCTTGACGTCAATGAGGTGCGAGAAGGCGGCATCAAGGAGGCGCGTGAGGACGTGCGTGAATGCGGGCGAGTCGATGAGGTCGGAGGTCTCGTCTATGAGGCGGCGGAGGGAGGCGGTGGTCGTGGGCGAGGACGAGTCCGACGAGGAGGTCATGCCGCTTTCCTGGAGGACGTACTCTTCCTGGTCTTGCGCGGGGAGGAGGTAGGTCAGCCACTTGCATGTTCTGTGAAGGGTCAGTAGGTGCTACGGTGGGAATAGCCCGGGTGAACGAACCTCCTCTCCTGCTCGGTCACGCCCTCGACCTTCTTCCGCACCTCAAGCGTGAGCTCGGATAACCTCTCCAGTGTGATCTCTTCTCGCGGGTTCAGGGAACCAAAGACGTCCTTAACGGCAGCCCTCACCCTCTCCATCAAGTTCAAGCAGCCCTTGTGCAGCAGCCACCAGCTCAGACTCAGGTATCTCCGGTTCGTCTCGAAGTCATTGCCGTACGCCTGCTCGAAGTTGTCGTCATCGTGGTTCTCGAGGCTGATGTGCGATTCCTGGTTCGCTGGCGGCGGCGAGGCCAAGGACACGACGGATGCGAGGTAGTTGCGGCGGCCGAGCAGGTTGAGCTGGATGCGCGTTAAGAGTGTGAGGAGGGAGAGGGTGTACAGCAGCGTGAAGGCTCGTGTTATCGCTGGCCAGGTCAGCGCTATATAGCGTCAGGGGACACCGAGGACAGGGCACGCACAGCTTATCTTCATCTCGTTCCAGAGCTGCGCCTTGCTCTTCTTGCTCTTGCGCTCACGCTCCCGGCTCGTCTCGGTACCTCCATTGGTGCTGTCCGTCGAGCTCGCGCCCTCACCGGCGGCGATCTGGCTCGCGTGAACGTAGCTCTCGCTCTGGAAGCTGGAGCTCTTTGCGTCGTCCTCGGCCGTGTCTGCCACGCTCGGCGGCGCGGAGCTCGCAATCTCGCTCGGGCCGACGCTTCTAGCCAGCCGCTCCGCCTTCTGCTTCTGCAGCTCTTCCAGCACCTGCTCGACGGGGAGGGCGTCGAGGACGTTCTCGGTGGCGGTGGGCAGGATGGCGAGGACGGTGAAGGTGCAGTCCTCCTGGTTCTGCTCGAAGCGGCGGCGGAGACTGGAAACTGTTAGCCATGCATCGAGCAGTGTCGCGCTGGGGTGCCGCACTTCTCCTTTGCTATGCGCTCATCGCTCATGCGCTGTCTCGCCTCGGACAGCTTCCCCAGCACGTACTGCCCCGCGAGATAGCCGGCGCCCAGCACGCCCGCACCCACGGCGAAGTTTGTGCGATTCCGGCGGAACCAGCGGCGCGTCGCGCCTATCATTGTGCCAGATGAGGAAAATGTGATGTCTGGACTTCAATGCGGAGCGCAGGTCGCGTGTGGGGAAGCCCGCCGACGTAGCTCGAGCTCGAGCTGCCCGCGACGGGGTGTGTGACGTGGACGCCCCTCACGGGCCGGGGCGCACAATGCAGATGGACCGGGGCACGTTGGGCCGGCGAGGACAGAGTGTACGGAGGACAGAAGACTCGCAATTCGCAGCAGGATGAAGAAACTACAGCTTCCCCTTCAGATGGCTGGAGGCTGGACGTGATGGCATGCCAAGCGGGCACGGTCCCCAGCTGCGTGAGCCGAGGCAACTCACTACCTACTAGTAGTACCTAGGCACGCCATCACCACCACCACCGCCCCTGCCCCGGGCCACCTCTCTATCTTGACAAATCCATTGAATCCATTCTATCCCTCTGCCATGTCCCTAGCCACGCCGTCCTATGTAGAGCCTCTACGCCCCAGTTCCGTACTTAGGCCACCTCGCCTTCCGCCCACTCCAGCGTCCAAGTCTCTCGACTCATGATCCCGCCCAGATGTACTGCTTTGATACAGCCTGGCTAGCAACACGAATCGATCGACAATGCGGCGCTCGGTTCCTAATGGCCTTGGCCTTGATAGCGCCTGGAAGAGCGCTTGGTGCCCGCTGTCACACCGAACGGCCGCCAAGAGCGCGGAGACAATAGCTTCTAGGACGAAGATTTTCATCGCAGCAAAGGTGACAGCAATGCGCGGGGGCGTCGAGAGTATTTGGTAGAGCTTCGGACCGAGAATGCACAGGGCCTCTTCGTGGATTTGGCGACAGACTCCTAGGATGGCGACCGGTAGGGATCGGGCGATGAAAGTGATACTTCCGCTGCGTAGCCGGAGGTGGCGCGTCTTGATGGGCAGGCGCTCGTACACCACGAGGCGGATCTCCTTCGGCAGGTCCAGAAAGCGGAAGCTGCGAGTGTCAGCAGATAGCTGAGCCTCGAGGGAAGAGAAGTCAATGCCCCAGCTGCCTCGATCCGCCGACCGCCCCCAGAAGTGGTCTTGCGGACTCAAGTAAACCCCGCTGGTGCGAGCACGAAGACATACGTACCTGGGCTTTGCCGGCGGAGCCATTTCGGAACGTGGTTCGCGGAGAGCTTCGCGGTGGTTTGCGAGGCGTGCTCGGAGTTGCTGTCGGGAGTTCATCGCAAGAGTTTAGCTTTATGTGGTGGCGACTTACACGTGTCTCGGGCGGGACGTGAGGTGGGGGGCACGGAGTTAAAGTGAGTCTAGCACGTTCGTCATTTCTCAAGAATTTCCATATTTCATTGTCATTTGAGAGCTAGTTTTCGCCGAATGGCTGTGCTAGGTAGCACAAGGTGTGCGGTCGTACAGATACGGGCCCGCTTCCTGATACGCCATCCTCAGTACCTCTCGCCTTCGGCCCATTCCAGCCACCACGTCTGGCTATCCACGAGACCACCCAGCTGGCACGCAGGGGGTTTTAATCCATCCCGTCGGTTGCCCTCTTCGGCTTCCTCAAAAGCCTTCGTGAGACTCTCTTCCAATACTTCTCGTGTCAAATCGTCATCGGGATGGACGGCAAAAAGACGCACATTGGGTCCCCAATTCCACAATTCTACAAAGTCGCTCGCCTCCTCCGGAAACACATCTCGCACATCCACGTCACATTCGTACTCGAAACCGTGGATGCAAATCTCTGCAGGAACGCTCTGCTCCACGTAAACAAGGTGCGCGTGTCGTACGAACTGAGTCAGGCGTCGCGTGTCTGAGGGCGACGAGTCCGCGATAGACCGCGGCGCGTGATACTTCTCTTTGTTCGCCGTCCACGTTTTGATGTCTCCTATCTGTCCCGGCCGTAGGCGGAGGAGAAAACTGACCCAGTCGATGCCCAGATCGGGAGTACGATACGCCATTTCCCCCTCGCCGGGAAATACGCCCGAGCTGATGACGAATCGCGGAGGGGTCGACCGGAGATAGTCCAGTTTCGGCTTGAGGATCGCGCCTGCTTCGCTGTTGACCAGGCGGCACGTAGCCAGGATGGCGACTGGGAGCGTTCTGACAACGGGGGCAAAATCCAAGAGCTCAAAACCGATTATTTCGAGGTGGCGCGTCGTAATAGGCAGCCGCTCGTACACCATGAGACGGAGTTCCTTGGAGAGATGGAGGAAGCGGAACGGTTGCGCGTTTGGTGCCATGGCTGGCGAGTTGTCGCAAACTTGAAGAGTTGGTGTTGCGAGCGTAGGGCAATACATACGTTGAGAGTAGATTATATGCGCGGTAAGGAAAGTGAAAGGCGGGGGCGATAGATGGCAGGGTCCGAACGGCTCTTCCCCGTAGTTCGCGCACAATGGTCACATGATAACCAAACCCAACGACTGTCTCGCTTTTCTGCTACGCGATGCGTTGTGAAACTCCTCAGGCGCGACTTCCGCAGAGTGAGAGGTGTGGGTTTTCAAGACAAAGGAAAGGGAAAATGGGCGAGAACAAAGGCGCCAATCAATGCCCTTTCTTCGCCTCCTCGAGGGGCTTTGCTCGATTTGACGCTCACAAAGGCACGTCCGCTACTTTCCTAGCAACGTACCGATTCACCCCCCGGTAGGGTGTTCCGATAACTGCATGGAAGAGGAGGGAGGGATATCTTGCCCTGCCAAGCCGGTTGCTTGTGCTTAGTAATGCTAATGCTAGAGGATGCTCACGATGCGGATGGAGAAATCATATTAGGAGGGAAGTTTGGGAATGTGAAGGCATGGCTAGGGAGTGGCTTCTTCTCTTCGTCTGGTTCTGTCACGAGGGAACGAGTGGGTTTTGGTGGTTATGCTAATATATCAGTGAATAGGCACCTATGGAGATGGGAGGTGGGTGATGGGAGTATGAAGGGAATAGTGATATACCTACCTAGGCAGGTAAATGAACCATAAAGTCACGTGATGATACGCGAATGACTGGGTACGAGCTGGGTCGGTGTCGGTGGTATTTCTCCCTTAGACTATGGGCCCTGGGCGTTATTCCGAGTAATATAAGTTCAGCAAGTCAATACTGCCCATTACTAGCTCATGAGTCTGGCCAGGCAGCTTTGAAGGAGTGGAGTAAAATATGCTTCGTTCTACGGCTGGCAGGCCTAGTACGGAATGACCCCTGGGCTCACGGCGGCGTCCGCAGAGGGCATGTCCAGGCGATGTGATATTCAAGGGGCTCGCGGAACTCGGGGGTTGTGCCGGACCTCGCTAATTTAGCTAGATTAGGAAACGGCGTGCCCGGCTCAGACATCTTCCCACACATCTTCCATCCGACCCCCACCATCCCACTTCTGACTTTCATCCCGTGTCCGCATGTTGTATCGTCCTGCTTCCTTTCCCGGACACCGCGCTGCATGACCTGGGACAGCTGCTTCCTCCAATGCGCTTGAAGTGGAGGACGGATGACAACGCACGCCACGCCATATACTCTCGAACATATGTGACGACTCTCTTCCCGCATCGTCGCAGACTCTCGAAGCCTCGAGATACTATTGACCGGCTCCAGATGCACTCCTGCCCAACTTCAGGTGGCTATGCCCGACACGGCGCCAGGCAGATGTTGTCTCGCCAATCAGCTGCGCCACAGCCGGGTACAGCGCATACGTGGCGATGGTCCTTCAAGTTCGCTGAACCCGCGGCGTGATCCTCTGCGGCTTCAGGATACCGGCTCTTACGGAGTGCCCCTTTAATCCAATCATCAAGACCCTTGACGCTGAGGCGCCGGGTCTCAGTGTTGAGATCTGGCACGATCGCTCGTATCCAGGTGTCCGTTCATGGAAATGACCATGTGCTAACCCACTTGGGACGCCGTCTCGTTACTCGGTGCTTATCTTTTACCGCTTCCTGCAGCACTTGCGGTTGCCTACTTGTCTTGAGCCTCTGGAAGGGTCGCCGACAACAGGATATTTCTCCAGAAGGTTTCTCCCCGCGCGATCCGTCTCAAGCTCGTTCCATCGACTCTCTTCCTCCAGCTTCGCCATCCCGGCCTGTGACCATTCCCAGCCGCCGAGTCAACACCTGTAAGCATTCTCTTCAACATTCCGAACTTTGGAAGGTAGGGAACATCAGGTAGTAGTGAGCAGACGAAAGGATAGTCCTAGCTCTCGCCGAAATACATTGCACACCTCATGATCATTGGCTCACCCACATACTCGTGCTTCTCGCTCGAGAATTCGAACTCTTGTGTGATCAACGACGTGCTAATGCTCTCTCAGATTGCTTGCCTAAGTCGGGCCCCTTTCCCTGTTTCTAGAGTCTTCGTGGCCGAGCATGCCTCTCTCGTCGCTAAATAGTTTTTGATTTCGGCCCGTGATCATGGCTATCCCAACCCAAGCGCGGACTACCACGTCTTTCATCTTCCGCCGACGGCCGACACCTGAGGGATCATCGCCTTGGGAGGACATATTCTTCATCTACCCGGTGGAATCCGACGAGCTTTCTCAGGCCCTCAGGGATGCATATCCACAATGTTCAACCCTCCGTGAACGAAAGCATCAGGCAGTTATCGATTTCCTTAGTGAAGAGCTTCGCCAGATGAAATGCAAGGCTCCCGACCCTTCTCCCGTTTTTTCAAATGCCGACCTCCCTCAACACGCTCAGCGAGATGACTTGAGCGCGTTCAACGATGAGTTGTCAAATTCCAGCCGGCAGCACAGCACTTCCACGTGCACGTCTCCGTCCGTGTCCTCGGTCCGCTCGTCTGTTATTGCCGATCGATCTGCTCGCCATGCCGCCTTTCTTATGGCGTACAACGCCGAACCGGCTGTCTCGACCATTACGAAGCCGACCGCAGATCCAGGCGCATCAGGAAAAGTTAATTCGGCGGTTGCCGCCCAGCAATTTGTGTTTAGCGCACATGATGGGCGGGCGATGCGACCGAAGACAAAGCGAAAGATGACCTTAGAAGAGCGGAGTGCTTACAAGGAAACGAGGAAAAGAGGCGCATGTGACAAGTGCAGGAGGCAGAAAGGAAGAGTACTCTCAGCCCCAGCTACAAGCACCGGACTTTGCGGTGTGTAAGCTGACCAAGACCAGTGCACTCACGTGAACGAAGGAGATACTGAGATGGCCGTGATAGAACATGTCAATAAGGTTGCAAAGAGGTGCGTTTTCTAACCTACTACTTTAGCCTTCCATTCACGACGACAGAAACCTCTCAACCGGATTCGATCGAGGCGCGCAAGAAGGGGTTCGGCCAATCAAGATTGAGCTTTCCCCGACCGTACACGTGGCCCATTCGACACACAACGATCCTCAGCCCACAAATACAGTACAGCAAATTGACACCAACCGGGCACTAGGACCTGACAACAATGGTCCCCTGCCGCAAGGCGACGACGGTTGGGAAAGCGTAGAAGGGTACGTACAGTCTGAGCCGAACCTAGACCCGCTTTACATGTCGGGGGCCCAAGCCGATGAGCCATGGTCACCTTTTTCTGGTCGGGATCCGGCGGAGCCGTACATGTCCGGATATCCTGAGGAGTCTAGCGTAGCTAGAAGTGCTTTCTTATCTCCGTCTATGGTCACCCCGCCTTCTGCCAGCCTCACGTTTCAATCTGGCCATCCCTTTTATGGATCTCCGTGGTCCAATAGCCAGGACCAGCCAATGGGAGGCCCCGCACCAACGTGAACGTCAATAGATGATGCTAGACTACAATATGGACCACAATCTCCATGGACATTATGCATGGCCACTTTTCCCTCCGATGAGAGCTGGCGTTTCCGTTCGTGTGCTTGGAGACCCATTAGAGCACTGCACTAGCCGCGATGAGACCAAAGCAACCTAAGCCCAATCAGGTCTCCCTGGACCAGCCTTATGATCCCGAGGAATGCTTACAGCCCTGGAAAGGCGGACACGCAACTAACGCCCAAGTCCGTCAACTATGGACTGCGCCTTGGGCAGTCTAGGCTGACGGCCGCACTTGCTTGCTCATCGAAACCTTGGAGTGGAAAATTGTGACATAGTATGTCCGATATCCACCGTTATGATGGTAACGGCCCACTTAGGATTTCGTTCCGGTTGACAAATGGGCCCGCAATGGCTCAACGACCACTACAGTTCCACACCCGCTTCTTCATGTTGGCTCACATGTTCATGGCCGCGTCGTCACATCATTTCCCTGATGTGAAAAGGATCCACTTGGAACATCGGCCGCCATGGGGTCAACCATAGAAAACCTTGTGAATCCAGGAGGGCGTTTCCCCATCGCGGCCACGTTACTGGAGTGTGTTTGCAATTCTCCGCATCGGCTTCTAGGGCGTCGATGGGACTCTTCTGGTTGAGGACTACCATGCTTCGCCGGTCTCCATCCTCTTGTCTGGTATCTGGATATGGCCTCTCTAACCCGGAAGCCTTAGGATCTTCGAATGGAAGGGGCATCATATCCGAAATGATGGCCATATCCGCGTGTGGTCTTCTTCGAACCCGCCCCGCTGGCCATTGTTATTTGCCCCTGCAAGGTACCGAGAGAGCCAGATCGCTGGGACCTTGGCTACAATCCGGGAACGCGTGCAATTATCGACGATATCGATTCGAGTGCGTAGGGAATTTTTTTCTTGTTTTTCGACGTATTGGCCTAGCGATCGCTCTGTTTGCGTAAGTTTGACTCGTTCAATCTGGTACTGTGTTTTGGCTACCTTGGTTTTTCCTCTCCATCTTGGATTCCTAAGCGTCTTTATGGTCGGTCACAGTACGGCCTTGTTCAATTCGATCGCCCAGACTCCCGGTATCTTACGCGCGCTAGGATAGACTAATATCATTAAGCCGCCCTTGGGATGGCCTAACCTCTCAAATTCCTGTCGATATCCGCTCTTACTCCATCTTGACATTGGATCGGACACGATTAACTGCCAGATGTGTTTCTGTGGTTCTTCTTGCTAGATGAGATCATCTAGCAGCTTTCTCATGTTAGTTCATTTCCTTCTCCATGAACCGGTACCTTGCCTTGAGGACCACTGCCCTTCGGAGGACTGGACATGCCACATTAGTCGAGGTTATACTAACTGACATCGCGAAGATCAACACCTTCAACCCCCACCGATCGTTCGAGCAACTCCACTTCGTCCAGCGCCGCAACTCCGACCCATACGTCCGCGACTCCGGCAACCGATACGATGCATGTTTAGCTTTCCATTCCTCCGCTATACGATATACGTCCCCTATTTCACCTACGATTTCTTCATGTTTACGCGCAATGTCCATGTTACAACGGCCGACAATACGTTTCCCGCTCAACTACTGTTTGCATTTTGGTTCTGGAGGGCGCGGAGGGCTTCTTTTACGTTATACATCACAATTCTATAAAACATATGCAGCTCGACACATACGTTGGCAATTGGGAATGAAGCTACGTTTTTCGCATGCCTGTGCATGGACTCCTTGGGTGTGTTTCTCCTGGTGATGCTTGCGAAAAGATCTGCAGTTCTAGAATGGAAGCGCTACCGAATACACCCTTCTGGAGGCGACGGACCAGAATACAACAGCTTCGAAATCCCCATTGATAAAGAGGACACAGGGTATACGTTACCACATGTCTCGATTCGGAGCCGTTTAGCATGGGTAGTTCGAACAAACACTAGATTGCTAGCTATGCCGCACTCACGCACGGCACAAGTCCAAGAAGCAACAGTCCTCTCTGATAAGCTTAAATGAGGCGAAATTGCCCGACGCGGTTAATCGACATGCCGGCAGATGCCCCTGTCCATCACCGCCACGCGATTGGCCCCACCGCGCCTTTAAACATCCCGGACGCGCATCTTCGACTACGTTCCCCACAACAGCATTCTCGCTACCCCAGAATGTCTCATATCGGACTATACGACGCTCCACGGCATGACAGCTTCGATTGGTGGCTCGGCGCGCGGCGGCACTCAACAGTCAGACTGCAACACTGCCATATTGGCGATCGACGTGGGCCATATCGTACACCAACGGCAGTTTTGCCTCTCCTCTGGTGCGTGCGCGTGCGATTGGTTGGATGCTTTTGTTTATGTGCGACCAGCAGTGGTACTTGAGAAGCGCTGCGCCCGGGCCCGTCTTGTAATCGAAGGCACCTCGCAACTTTGGCACAGCGACTTCACAAGATGATCGCCGTGACGTGGACTCTTCTGCTCTCCTCGGTGGTGGTGACTGTGGGAGCTGGACCCGTGAAGCAGTCCTTCAGCCTCAACCGGTAACTTCCTAACTATTCAGCGAACCGAGCTCGTCATAGCTGACCCATCTGCTTCAGACGATCCGACGGCTTCCCGTATCCGCTGGACGAAGTCGACAAGCTCGAAGAAGACTCTCTTGCAAAGTTCCAGGCCTACCTTGCTAAGAAGAACGTCACCTCTCATGGCTGCACGCTTGAGAAAGCGGCGAAGAGGCAGGAGTGGTACGCATTATAGCCTTCAGGAAGGCCTTGCGAAGCTAACTCGCACGCCAGGCACGACATGACGGTGCCCATGAGGGAGGAGTATATTAGGGCAGTTCTGTGTCTCCAGTCCAAGCCTCCGAAAGCCAATCAGACGGAGTACCCTGGTGTCATGAACCGCTACGATGACTTCGTCTTGACGCACGAGACGCAGGCTTTCCATCTCCATTCCACTGTAAGCTCTTTTATCCAAGAAGGAAATGGGAATGCTCACTAACCGTTCGCATAGCCGCATCTGTTTCCGGCACATCGTCTCTACATCTGGGCTTATGAGAAGGCACTGCGCGAGGAGTGTGGTTATACCGGTTACCAACCCGTAAGCTCCCCGTTTCTGAGCCGGTGTTCATGCGACCGACTGATCCAACTTCAAGTATTGGAACTGGGGCCGCACCGCGGCCGACCCAGCAAACTCTCCCCTCTTCAACGGCAACATGTCCAGCATGGGTGGCAACGGCCTCAAGACTAACTACCCCGGTGTACCAACCATGGGATTTACGCCGCCGTACGATATGATCCCCGCCGACGTCGGCGGCGGATGTGTCACTGAAGGACCGTTCAAGAAGTGCGAACACCCTCCCCATAAACTCCGCTGGCACTCCTTGCTAACCCTCCTCGAAGCATGACAGTCAGTCTCGGCCCCATCGGCGGTGTCCTCACCGACATCCCCAAGAACCCGCATCCCCGTGGCTACGGGGCGAACCCGCGCTGCCTCCGCCGCGACGTAAACAAATACGCCGCCGGCCAGACCTATGCCAACTACACCTACGCACTCATCACCGAGTCCAAGGACATCGACACCTTCCAGGCGCACATGCTCGGCCAGCCGGAGAAGAACGACTGGGGCGTCCATATGGCAGGTCACTACACGATCGGTGGTGATCCCGGCGGTGTAAGTTTCTCCTCTCCTCTCCTCGCACTCGCTCATCATTCCGCTTGATTAGACAAGCACACCAACTAACGTTCTGCTACACAGGATTTCTACTCCTCGCCCGGCGACCCGGTATTCTGGTTCCACCACGGCATGGTGGACCGCATCTGGTGGATCTGGCAGATGCAGGACCCTGAGAACCGCATGAATGTGCTGCCGGAAAATCCGCCGCAGGATGACTTCGTCGACTTAAACTGGACGGCTAGCAAGGTGAACACGTGGGATCTCAATGACAGCATTGGAGGAAATGGGGGCGAGTTCTGCTATATCTATGTTTAGAGTGCCGGAACGGCGCTAGGCTCTGCCGATAGAAACGCGAAGTAGTAGTGCCGTTAGAGGCACAAGTGAAATGAAGTATGCTACGGCAGTTGGATTCCAACCGCGCTCCACCCTGCCTTTACCGCAGCTTCTGCTCCCCGAATGCCGCTCGATTTGGCAGTCTGGTACGTACGGTCCGCCCATTGTGCGAAACCGAGAGCCTTATCCTGATCTTGCAGGCCCGAAAGCGCTTTCCACCATACCCGCCTACTATTTCCCAGCTGGGCTTCTTGGAGAAGATTACGGCCTTGTAGAACGCATGCGACGGTATTGTGGAAAGGTGGTATCGATTCAGCTTCAGCTCGGGCTTGACATCCGTGATCGCTTTAACGCATCTGTCTTTAGAGATCATGCCGTCCAACTTCTTGAACTCGAAGGCTTGGCCTGGAGTTTGGAGATCGCGAAGAGCCTTCACCTTCGTTCCGGGGAGAAAGAGATTCTCGCCGACGAGCCAATTCTCGGTATCTTTCGTCGTCCATTGCTTCTGCATGACTGCGAATACGTCGGCCAGGTGCTCCCAGAGTGCCGCCGACTCGGTCTCGGCATCGCAATCGAGCGCAAAATCGAGATGGCCCAGGATTACCCCGTGGCATAACTCATGAGCCACCCTTTTCAGAGTTAGCCATATTGAAAGCTTTGTTCGGATCTGGAGGACTGCGAGATAGAGAAAACATAGGCGAACTTACACGCAGGGCGACAGAGCACCTGGCCCCCATATCAAGCCATCCCCATCGCCGAAAGCTGCTATGCCTACGCAGCTCCCTCTTGGGACCCATATGCCGCCCATGAACTCCTTTCCATAATGGTAAGATAATTTCAATTCCGACCCTTGGAATATTATCTCATGCTGAAAGGCGGATCGGAAGAACTTGATCACGTCATCCGCAGTATCATATAGGGCATTTGCGAATCCCTGCTCTTGAATGGCCTCATCGCCCTCTTTACGGACCAAAACTCCAGGGAGCGAGCCGCGATCTGGTCTCCCTTTTCTATTGACCTTGTTCTGATGGTTGTGAATCCGCCGTTTCACCGCGGAACCTCCACCTAGTGGTGCCAAGCTCTTTGACGGGGCTTCCTTCTCTTCAAATTCATCTTCGGAGTCCCTCTTCAGTTCCGTAGGTCCTCCACCTAGTGGTGCCAAGCTCTTTGACGGGGCTTCCTTCTCTTCAAATTCATCTTCGGAGTCCCTCTTCAGTTCCGTAGGCTCTCCAACTAGTAGTGCCAAGCGCCTTAACGAGGCTTCCTTCTCTTTGAATGCATCTCCGGCTTTCCTCTTCAGTTTGGTAGGCGATAGCGACTCTTCTGAAGTTACCGTTGACGATAGTTGTTGAATCTCGGCGCGAAATGTGATGGGGTGGGAATGCTTCATCCATTCTTCCGACAGCGCTATCTGAGCATGCATTGCCCTCCTGCTATCCTCAGTGAGACCTTCATAATCTAGCAATTGGCGGAGAATATCGGCATCGAGGAACGAGCATGCCATTATGGGAGGGAGAACGGGTCAGGCGAAGGTGAGCTTCAGACTTGGTCAGGACGAGCGATGGAGAACGCGATTCTGGAATGATGAGGTAGCAGAGTCATTGCCTAAATAATTTGGATGCTACATTAATTGTTGGAGAGTGGAATTTGCATACGCTGCAATCGCTCTTCCCACAATTGATACATGCAAGCAGACTGGGCAACAAACAACTAAGGCTTGATAACTTGTTTGCTTTGACTTGCTTAAGCAAATTAAGCCGAACAAGCCTGATTCTTCCTTTCTTTTAATTAAACAAGCCTCTCTTAAAATAGGGGTGGCACGGCCTGTATTTGCGAGTTATTAAAGAAGCTGAATTAGCGTATTTTATCAAACAATCAGCTAGAAGCCTTGGCTTGGCTTGACGTGTTTGTTGCCAGGCCTGCATAGAAGTACGCTTAACATTCCTTCCCTAAGCACACTCTCTTATCGTGGATACCACAATCGTTATTCGCACTGAACGAAGACGAATCATGCAGTCATATGTGGGTATCCTTTTGTTATATGGTTTGATGGTCCTTATCCCCAGATCTCTACTACGTGACCTAGTAATGCATAAACAGAATGGAATGCTCTCCACATATTAAAATGTGAAGGCAACCGGGAGGAGTTGAGATCGAACGAGAGGCTCCGCCCAAGTGTTCATCAGCGTTTCGAAATGGGCCATACGCAGACTAAACACCACGGATATTGGCACATGAACAGTGTGTCCCGGGCTCCGTATGGCGGATATTCTCGTCCAACCTTGGGCATAGATCCTTCAGAGGTGCAGGAGAGCTTCTATGGTCGGCGCAGACAACTCAATGGGTTGAATTCGGGACATGGTTTACTGGCGCATCAGTAAGCTCGTCTTCCCCCACAATGAGGCACGGCTAGGGGAATTCGCCAAGCGCTGCTGCTCCTCGCTTTGGTTTCTTGCTAAGCGCCCTTGGCCATATTCCGCCAAGGCCCTCCTCCATTGCGTTGGATACTGAGCCACTCATCAACCATCTTCCCATGTCGATTGCCCTTAAGAGTATAACAGCTGACTTCTAGCTTATTCCACTGTTCTGCACTTCTACATAGGTGTCATTCTCCATTCCCTTCATCTCCTGCGCTCCGCTAGCCCGTGGTTCTGTGATACCCTGTTCTCTTCTCTTAATTTTGGCGTCTTTTGAGTCCTTTTGTGCGTAGGCAGCTGCCGTTAGTCAGCATAACCTCTAGAGGTTGGTGACTCAAAACGAGAAAAATCAATCAATCTCCGCTACCTGCGCTCAGGTCGACACCATGTCGTACGACCAGGCCTACAAGAACCTCGCCAAGGCATGCGAGCGAGGCTTAAAGCTCTCAAAGCCGGCTTAGTGAGCCTTCTCGCTCTGTCGAGCGGGGAGGATGGAGATCTCACACTCCTCGTATGGGACGCGTCACAGCACGGCCACGCCGCCATAGTAGTAAGCAGATAAAAGAAAGAAGAAAGAAAAACAATGATAAAAAGAGAAAGATAAAAGAAAGGAGAAAAAAGATCAAAGAAAGGAGAAAAAAGATCAAAGAAAGGAGAAAAAAGATCAAAGAAAGGAGAAAAACAATGATTAAAGGGTAAAGGGTAAGAAAAGCTAGAGAAATTAGATAGGTGCTGTTATAAGAACAGCATGCGTCGCTCTATTGTAATTTTTCTCGATATAATACAACGCTTCGGGTAGCGGGTCAAGTTGAACCATAAAAGCTAAAGCCTAGTTGGGATTAGGCAACTCAACAAATTCGAATTTTCGACTTGTCTGTTTGACATAACCTATCTTATTCAATATTTCTACTGCGACAGACCTCTCCTCTGCACCGTAGCTGCTTTACTCTCCTCATCGACACCATGCAGGAAGGCAACATGATGGACGGCGACTTTAGCTGCATGCCGCTCCCATCCCCAGGAGAAGTTAACTTCGAAGCACAAGCTCCACAAGCTCGAAAGCGTCAATCAAGTAACGGCGTCCTACCCTACGCTCCCGTTATCAGAGCAACAACTCTCGCCAATCCAAACGCTATCGAACTCTACACTTATTGGAAATATACTGGCAAGATCTACTCAGTCCAAACAGAGGGCAGAGAATCGCTTAGGGAGGCCCGCGAGGCACGCAAGCTGGTTGATGCTTACAAATATGGCCTTGAGCGGGGCTCGGGGGGTGCCGACTTCCGAGACGCGGTTATGGACGCCATGGCCGAGTTCATCGACCACAGAGGGTTTTGGTTCTTCCCCACCGACAGCACGGAAGGACATCCAAACACGAAGATGCTGCATTTCATGGCCTTCGTTTACGCGTTGAACATATACCCTCCAGAACACCGCTTCGAGGAAGACGAGTTCCGAGCAGCCTTCCTTAATGAACTGGAGAATTTCCCAAAAGACAAGACTTATCGTGAACTCTGGGACGGGTTCATGCAGGACGGACGTTGTCGATTTCATGAACACCGAACGGGTAGATGTTGGCGCGCGATATACGATAACGCCGCCTAAGAACGAAAATGTCGGTTTCTGCCCAGCCTCTGTTAAACCCCATCATTTCTCCGCTAAATTCTTTAACGGAGCCGAATCTGCCTTTTACTTGGGCATCCTTAATATCGCGCACACCGCTCCCCAAACAACATCTGATGGTCGTCTACTTGAGGCCTTCAGAAGATGCTATGGAACGGAAAAATTGGCATTGGACAGTAATCCGGACCACTCACTCTTTGGGCATAGGTTGCGTGGTCACTTTCTTCGCCATTGATGGCTTCTGGGGTTTCCAAGTCCAGCATGTCCTTCAGCACTTCTCTCTACTAGCTTAGCCAATACTACTTCAAAATCCAAGTCCAATGTGCTTGAATGTTGTCCGAATCTTCCGAGCGTAGAAGTAGCTCGCCAACCATATGTGACGGATGCCAACACCAACCACCTTCATCCCACTTTCTACCTAAATAGCCCTAAACCCATCCTCCACCATCACTTACACTCGCAATAGCCCTCGGGAGCTTGTACTGTGATGGACATAGAGTTACCAAATGTTGCCGGATATGGTTACAACTTCACGTGAACTGGTCATGCATATATATAGCCATATTTCTCGTATTCTCAATCAATCAATTCATGTCTCAATACTTGCCACTTCCCCTGAAACCAAAGTATGGGTCTATGTTCTTTGACAACCTCCTGCATGGACTTTCCGCTTTGATCATGTCAAACTTCCGGCTCATTCTCGCGGAGCAGGCTGAATCACCCGGCTATAGATGACTACGCCAAGTACCTCATGATAAGTTCGAGTTACATGGTGCTCCATTTCCAAGCGAGCCAGAACCGGTGATGTCAGTCAACAGTGACTGACAAGGCTGTTATAAGCTTTCGACCATGAAGGCGGAGGAAACAGGGAGCCTTGCACGAGGAGAGATACGCAAATACCTAGGTACTCCTGAGGCACTACCCTAAGCAAAGCCAATTGACTCGACTTGTTGCCCAACCGAAGAACCGTGAGCAAGTCGCCGTCGTTTTCACAGGAAATGTGCCGCTCTTCATCTAGTATCTTCTCGCCCTCGACACAGATCGTTAGCGAGGAGTACCGATATGGAAAAAGATCTCGGGCCTGGGGCGGACTAGCAGGCTCTGACCGACTTTGTGGGGTCATACAGGTCTTCCGATTTTGGCCGCGCTGTATTTGGGCGATTGTGAACCTAGCCGCGTTGAGGAATGTGGTATTGGGTACGGAGAAATCGCTCCTGCCCCTGAAATTCCCACGGACAATTCCAGGGACATCCATCGAAACAGATATTCTCGAGCCGTGTCGTGGTACAGTATTATTCCGCGCGTTTCACATTTGAAACAACGAACCGCTCTTCACGATATGAATCACTTACATATGCGACGACAATTGGACGGAACTATGGCCGGCCTACTGTCGTAAGAGCGTGCCCCATCTATATTGCTGATCTGACGGTGCGACATCGCAAATAGACGGGACCGTGATCAAAGGGATGTCAACGGACTCCACCAATTGGGACGACGGATAACTGGCGTCCTCAAATATGTTGAAGAGGTACAAAAGCGCAATTCCAAGCCTATAGATGATAAGCGCAGAACTATACGTTTCCCTCAAACATCTGGACGAACGACTACATACCACGATGCCTTCCTCCCGCCAAGTCGTCTCTGCTCTCACGCTCGCGTCCCTCACCTCATCAGGCAATGCAGCCTTCGGCCCAGCTTTCAGTACCGGTCCGGTTGGAAGTGGCGCATGGATCCGGGAGTCAACCTCAACACTCGTCTTGCCGAAGGCCCCCAGCGGTTCGTCCGGCGACACGTCGCTTTGGGTGGGAATGGGCACTTCGAACGGAGACTTGATCCAGTCGATTGCCGATAACTGGAACTCCGATAGCTGGAGCGTATTTGCTTATACGCTCCTCAGCACTTCGCCCACTACCCAAATACCGGTGCAAGCCCTAGGCTCGACTGCCGTCGCAGGCGATAAAATCACTATGCACTGTAAGG